TCAAAGCTGTTAAACAGATCCTGTAGCTTCGAATAAGATTTGAGGTTCTCATGGCTGTGACTGAAAAGTACTATCATTTGGGATGCCATGTAGTTCAGTAGAACTTTACTGACGATTTGGAGGTGTAACATCCCAGAAGAGAACATTCCTCTAGCTTTGTTTCATCTTACTGCAGGGACTGGGAGTGTACTACTATTTGTTTTGAAATTACACTATGCGGTAGCATAGTTGTTTGAGGAACCATGCTATAAGCCGGAAGGTTGCTGGTTCAAGTCCTGATGAGGTGAATTTTTTTTAGTTTACCTAATTCTTCCAGCCACACTATGGCCCTGCGGTCAACTCAGCCTCTAACAGAAATGAGTACCAGGAATTTTCTTTGGGGGTAAAGGGCAGACGGCACGTAAGGCTGACAACCTTACGGTCATATATGAGTCGATTGTCTAGAAGATGTGGGAGCCTTGACCTTTCACGCCCCTATGGGCATACATGGCCTGTTACAGTGACAGCTTTACCTTTTTTTACTGATATGTGGTCCAATATGGAAACATTTAGGAATTGTTCTACGTGTATTAGTGTAGTTCCTTTATTTTGAAAAAATAATCTATGATGATGTCACCTTGCTGTCTGTATGTCTGTGTATCCTCTTAATTCTTGAAAGCCAAAAGTTGTTCTGTTCATATAACTTCAGGGTGGATGGAAGAGAAAACACTGGCTCCAACTGTTCCTGTGTTGTAAGCATATTTCTTCCATGTCTCTCTGTGTGTATCCCACATATATTTGCTATGCATTGAGTCGATTACTAAACAACAGCTTGGTAAACACATTCCAGCAACATATACACATTCAACAACAGAAGACTTGCCAAACACATTATTTTCTATTCCATCCATGCAGTATCAAAGGAAAGTAGGCAATTAGTTCCTGCCAAAACTCCTTGTTTGATTATTATATTGTAATCTGAAGAAGATAAGTAGTAGAACAGTACTATTTGAGTCAGGGAATTTGTACTACGGTTATCTTTTTTTTTTAATACTGAAAGTATTTAATGTTCTTAGCCTCATCTTTAAAAGAGTGAATATAGATGGTCTTCTGGGTTATGGCACCGTGTAGTCTGGTAGGTGGTTACCAGCATTGCAGAGGAATATACCGACTCTATCCTTAGGTTAGAAGGGAGGCAAGTTGGGAAATGGATAGGTGGACAGTGTGGCCATGGACTGGATCTATGAAATGAGATGTAAAGATGTTGGCTGCCATAACTAAGTCACACATGCTGGATATGCTGTGATGGCAGGGCACACATCCTGTTAAACCTGAGGGTAAACAATGTGAGGTTGTCAAACATGACTTGCAGGGTCTTTCAGTATCTTCACAGTTGAAAACAACCTGAAGTTCACTGGTACCATATGTGGGAGTTCATAGCTACTCAATTACTTTACTTCTATTTGCTCTTCCTGCTGTTTGTCATTGAGTAATATAACTGTAAAAGCAGAATTCTCTGCCCACAACAGCCACAAGTACCATCCATACAAAATATGGTACCACAGTATCATCTTGGAGTGACATGATATAGCTAAAAGGTCATGCAATGACAAAGAAGGACCATTATGGAACCAACAGTAGTGTCAGTAAAGGATACAGCTCTACAACTACAGCCAACTAGAAGCACCAGTGAGGAGCCAACAGCAACAGTAGTAAAAACTACGGTTCTAAAACCAGAGCCATTAGGAACTGCCACTGTGGAGCAAACAGATGTGACAGTACATGATATGGCTTCACAGCTAAAGATAACCTGAACTGCCACTGAAGAGCCAACAGAAGTGGCAATCCAGGATGCAGTTCCACAACCACAGCCATCAGACACCATCAGAGTGGAGAAAAGAGTAGTGGCAAACCAGGATTCAGTTCCACAACCACAGCCATCAGACACCATCAGAGTAGAGAAAAGAGTAGTGGCAAACCAGGATACATTTCCACAACCACAGCCATCAGACAGCTTCATAGTGGACCCAGCAGAATTTGCATTAGAAAACACAATCTCACAACTGGAGCCAACAGAGCTCATCAGAGTAGAATCAATGAACATAAGTGATTTTCATTCTTTCCTTCCTTAAAGAGAGAAAACAGGAACTTTGTCATAAGTTCAATACTTTTACAAAATTTGGTACAAATATTCTGTCATTCTAGACCATCACAACCACAAATTTTCCAATATTGTGCAGTCAGTAATGACATGGTGGATGCATCATAATTAATGGACCATTTAGCTAGAAACAGATTATACATATTCTTAAAATGAACATTATTTATATGCCAAAATTTACACACATGGTGATGGCAACAACTTTGGGCTCAAATGCGACCAGTTTAACTTACAAAGAAGCTGTACTTACTGGCAAGCAATAAGTTACTTCCAATGTAGTGAAGCAATGTGACACAAAGACTTCTGACATTAAAACACATACCGAACCTTTTTTCATGCCACTGTAACTATGTATACATGGGACTGACACAAAACTGCAGATTCAGAGAAATTTACACACAGAATCTGGAAAGATTTTTAGGCTCCCAGCAGGTTACCTGAGTCACCACAACTAAATATTACCTCAAAACCATACAGGAAGGTTCCTGAAAGTTGAAAATCATAGAGATTGTATTTTGAGACCATTACCATTTCAATCATATGTAACAGCATCACGTACATAGCCAGAAATAAGTGGTAGTTGTAACTTCCTGGATATAATGTGATGTACTCCCCTGAGAATCAACCATCATATCAGAGGTACATGTGCCCCCATCATCAATTTTGATGAGTAATCCAAGCAACAAACCAGCATGGAACAGGTGGCAAGCAAAGCTTTCCTTGATATACACAGTATTATAGCCCAGAAGACAGAACTCTTCATAACCACTACTGTGAGAACCTCAAATCCTAAACATGGTATGCTGTCAGAGTTAGAGATTGTTTTTATATTACAAGAAAAACAAGGTTTTGTTTTGGAATTAACTGTAAATGAGCAATGGTATAAACAAGACATGAAAATCTAATAAGTTTATCAGTGGGGTAATTTCAGAGTTATTCCTTAGCCAATGTAGCTATGAATTGTCATTTCTCTACAAGTGAAGAAATGTGCATATGGTGAAACAACAGTTCTCTAAGCGTGAAGAGATGTGTATCTAGTGAATGAACAGTCTCCCACTTTAATAACCAATAGCAGAAATAAAGGGACTGATGCTGACAGAAAGGAACAGCAGGATGAAGAAAAAGATGATGCTGATACTGGTGAGGAAAGGTATATATAGAAAGGGCAAGAAATGTTGTATTATAATAGTATTATTACAGAACAAAAATAAAGTGCTTGAGAAAGAGGGAAGAAACATTCCTGTAGCCAGATGTTCTACATTACTTCAGCTCCACATATGACACACCAAATTTCCTTCTGCATCCCCATTCTTTAAACCCACTTGACACATTTACCTTATGAGAAACTTGTTCTGTGTATAACTTGCATTCTTATCAAATTTTGGATAGCCCTGCACTATAACGTCCTTTGTTGTTCTCCTGTAAAATTTACATTTGTTTGATTTATCATTCTGCTATGACAGAGTGGTCCAAAGAAATATCATGGAACTTCCTTATTTGTGAGAATGGAATATGTAATGTCATGTCAAAGTTTACATGTGACAAATTCCAGGCCAGAATAACTATGACAGATACATCAGTAAAGTTATCATTACTAATGGAAGCCCAATTCAATTACCTTTTCTTTCCTTCATTTTCTTTACACCTGAATTGAATATCTGTAACTCAGACCTGCTTCATCTGCCAACGAGAAAAACTTTAACAATGAGAAAAAAATATTAGATTCCTCATGACTTTACATTGTCACGTGTTTGGATTACAGTATGCCCAACATTGAGAATGGGTTGCTTAACAGTGGTGCAGTGGTTCTGGCCATTTTCCTTTTGCATGTTTTACAAAATGTTTTGTAACAATAGACACTTCCCTTCAAAGAAAACCTAACAATAGTTCCAATCTCTAGATTACAATAAACTGACTATGTGCATTAAGAATGAAAATTTGACAACAATTAAAAAAGCTATAATGGGCAGGGCTATTATAACACCATGATGAAGTATATTATTACTGAAACAAATTTATACAAGAAGTTTTGTCTGCATGACTGAACTATAAACTGCTCTCTTTCTGTCACCATCTTACAGAAGAATCAAAAGGACATACATTATTGGTCAGTATGGAAGAACTTGATTCTGCATAGGTGACATCACTGGAATTACCAGAAGAATAGGAACATGTCCTCCCCAGTCAATGTCCTGAATCTGAGACTTATTTTTCAATTTCCTGACATCCCTAAATTCTCTGCATATGTGCAATTTCATTTTACTAACCTTGACCATGACCATGAAAAACTGCTGGTGAGATTATGCCTTCCTTCATTCATACTATATGCGTGGCATATCACACAGTATCTCCATTTCATTTATTTACTTAGTCCATGTCTCATTGCAGGATACAACAAGGTCTGTAGTGAGTCACTACCGGAAGACACACGGTTCTGTTAACATAAGTGGTCAATTGTATGAGATAAAGATGGTAGCCCTGCTATTTGCTAGGGCACTCAATGGGACAAAGGATTTCTATCTTGCCAGTAACATGGAATCTGCTGATAAATTTGATGATATTGTTTTCAAACTTCATGATAAGACAGCTTTCATCCAGCTGAAATATCGCAGTAAAGCCAATGCTAAAATAAGTAAACAGAACCTTCTTCAGGAGGAAGGAGCCTACAGCCTTGAAAAATACTTCCAGTCATACTGCGAAATCAAGCAACAGTGGCTACATGATGAAGATCTGAAACACTGTGGCACTTTTGAGAATGCCACCTTCATTATCTATACAGACTGTACAATGTCCAAGAATGTAGGGAATGATGATGTTAACAGTTACTGGCATGAGATTCTCAGCTCTGGGGGGAAATGTGTCTCTTTCACTAATGAGAGCTTTCTGACTAAACGTTGTGAAGAATCACCAGGTTTTAAGAAGTTCCTATCCCAGTTGTTATTCTTCAGTGGGCAAGCAGCTCTGGATAAACTCGATGAGTTAATAAAAGGGGAACTTAAAATTCTGTATGGGACAAATGAATTATATAACATGTTTCATGATAAGGTATTAGAATGGTGGAAAAAATCAGAATGTTATCTCACACATCAAGAACAATTCTGGAAGGACATTCTTCAAACTTATGTTGAAAAAATTTCAGAGCAAAAGCACAAAGAAACGGAAGAACTGCGTATAAAATTCAAGAAGTCTGTATATGATGTAATGCGAACACTCATTATGTTCAACCCAGCGGTACACATTACATCTGCCTCACCCATCCTCAGCTGTATCAAGGTACACCACAGCTTACGACATCAGCATCACCTCTTAATAGATGACAGAACCTTGCAATCACGACAGAACGAGGTGCTGGCACTGTGGAGCAGAAGGTGCGACTTGCTTGTTGTAGAGGAGGCCAGCACTGTGAATATGGAATTTGTGTTTAAGATTCTCCAAATGTATCCACAGAAGAGACTGGTTCTTGTAGGCGGAACTGTTGCCTTAGATAAGCTACAGCACAAGTATATCACATTCCACGATCATATCATAGTGGGGCAGCTGGATGAGGCAACACAGGCCCGAGTGCTGGCTATTCAAGTGCACTTCCAGGGTTATGATGCCTCTCTTGGAGAAATATCTGGCAGCAACCATGACTTGGTACCTGCTAGTATAATCACACAGCTATTGAGAGACAGAGTGGTGCTGGGAGATTCTCTGACAGGTGACATAAGTTACTATATACCTCGAACTTTATACGATACTGTTCAGGACAATGAGCAAGTTCTGCCTCATGGAATGACAGATTTGCCTGTCACATCGGCTGTGAGTGGCTTGTGCTCCCATGAACTGTCGCCTCAAAATTATGAGAACATTGATTCAGTAACAGACATTACTCAGCGTGTGGTACTAGTGTCCGCTGAGCCTGGAATGGGCAAGTCAGCCCTCCTCACACATTTGGCACTGGGCACAAAAAAAGCCAAACCTAATATGTGGGTGGTAAAGTTGAACCTCAGCGACTTCACCCAGCACCTGAAAGAACTGCCATCCAACTTACAACTGCATCATATAATAGAGTTCCTACTGGAAGTTTCAGGAATCTCAGAACTGTGGAAACCTTTGTTCAGATGCAAGCTGGAAACAATGGAAAATGTGTGTGTGTTATTTGATGGGTATGATGAGATATGTCCAACCCATGCAGAAAAAGTAGCTCTCATGTTGAAATTTCTACAGGCAACCAAACTGCAATACCTCTGGGTTACAACACGGCCAGTTATGAAAAAGAAACTGCAAAATAAACTGTCCACATTGGCTTTCACATTTCAACCATTCTTAAAATCTGACCAGCAAAACTTCCTAGCTAAATTCTGGAAGAGACGTATACCTGACATTGAGGATCGTGTGTTGAATAACTTTGTAATTAGGCTGCTACGGTTAACTGCAAACAACCTCAAAGACAGAAACAGGGACTTCATGGGCATTCCTTTGCATTCCATGATGCTGGCTGAGGCCTTTGAAGACAACTTGAAAACTTACAATGAGAAAGGTGTGCTGGAACTTCCACCAAAGTTTGACATGTTCCAGCTTTACAATAGGTTTGTGGAACAAAAATTTAAAATTATTAATGACAAAAACAAAGTGGATATGTCAAAACCTCAAATGGAAATTTACTGCAGATTAATGGAACAAGAGTTCAGAAAAGGTCATATGATTTCTGCTGTGTTCTTGCTTTTGCCTACTGATGAAATGAAGAACCTTCCGGATTTAGATCTCATGATAGACAGATTTAAATCATTTTTAGCTACCCTGGAGGAAGGAAATGATCCAACTGGAATCATTAAACAAATTCAGTTTTTTGAATCATTTACAGATATAGGGCATGAGGGTAAGGAGCTTGCTGGAATTACTGAAAAGATTCTGAAAATTAAACCTGTGTTCATACATAGGACCTTTGCTGAATATTTTGCTGCTCTCTGGTTTGCTAAGAATTTTGAAAAGTTGCAAAGTTACTTGAACATAAAAATGTTTGAACCAAATTTCCAAATGGTAAGGAAATTCTTTGACCAAGTTCTGGCCCATAAATTTCCCTTGCACCTTGCTGTTCTGAACCTGGACAAAGTTCTAGTGGAGACCCTGTTGTCAGAAAGGAAAGTGGATGTGAACACAAAGGATGAAGGTGGAAGGACAGCCTTACACCTGGCTGTGATGAGTGATATTGGTACACGAGATGATGTTCGTACCCATAGTACTGTGCAGCAGATCATAATAATTCTGTTGGAATATCAAGCAAATCCTAATATCGAAGACAAAGTCTTGTTCTTTCGGCCAATCCATGTAGCTGAGAAGCTCAGGGAGTGGTCAACTGTTGAGCTGTTGTTGGAAAAACAAGCTTGCACTGAGGATCTGGTTCTCACCAGGCAACGTATTCATAATAAGGAGAACATACAGAATGTACTGATATCTGCCGCAAAAAATGGGTGTGTGAAGCTTGTGTCGTTCATGTTAAAATGTGGTGTACCTGTGGGACATGCCATTGAGGTTCTATATGAGGGATCTTACTGCATAGCTACAATGTTACATGAAGCAGCAAGACATGGACAGGTCAGGTTGGTACAAGAACTCCTGAGCCACGGAGCCAACACTGAAGCAACGGACAGTAGGTATAATAGAACTGCACTGATGTGGGCAGCTGAGCAAGGTCACTTACAAGTTGTACAAGCCCTCCTGCGCCACGGAGCCAACATTGATGCAAAGGACAGCAGTTATAATAGTTATAATAGAAGCACAAGAGCGTGGGCAGTTGAGCGATATCGCGCCGAAATTGTAGGCGGATTTATTGATCCTGGTTGCTACGACATGTATGGTAACACTGCATTACTGTTAGCAGCTAAGAATAAAAGGTGGGATGTAGCTAAAGTGTTATTACAATGTAATGCAGATGTGACAATTTGTGACTGGTCAGTTAATAATGTGCTGCACTTTGCTGCAGAGTCTGGTCCTACAGAATTGGTGGCTTACTTACTGGACATGAGAGAGATGGATACTGAGTGTCATAACAGTGATTTAAGAACTCCACTGTGGCTTGCAGCTCATTCTGGTCGCTTACAGATCACAGAGTTGTTGTTAAATTATAATGCAAACTTATATGTGAGGGACAGGAATGGACACACACCTCTACGGGCAGCAAAGGGTCGTTTTCATTTGGAGGTAGCACAGTTGCTTCTTGAACATGGAGCCACAGATGAGAGGAGCCTCTGCAGACTGATATTCTCTGACGATTAACCAGCCTGCATATGTGATACTGCTCATTATGTACCAAACTGTGAATGATATGTGCCATATTTTCAGGTTATAAGGTGCACTTGGATATTAGAGGGAAATTTTTGGAGTAGAAACTTGCTATATCTTTGAACTCTTCAAGATGAAAACTGATTTTGGACATTACTTTCCAAGGAAGGAGTGCCTTATAGTCTCCAAGATAGCAAATTTAGTAATATGTAAGACTAAATATATAAAATAAACATATAATGGCATTACTCAAACCTTTCTAGCAGCCTGTGCACAATGTCTTGTCAGAATACCATACAATATAAATGTTTGAATTTAACAAAGACATTTCTAAAAGCTTGTGGTTTAGGAAAACATTCATTGAAATCTAATGATCCTACTTGCTTTGAATTACTTGACTGAGAGAGCCCGCCAAATTAATAAAATTAGAATCCATAAATTGATTCTTACAACTGTACTACAAGACAAAACATGAACATGCTCCATGATTTTGGTACATTTGTGATTTTTCAACTGACTAACCTGATCCTATAATCATACAATCATAATACAACACTTCACATTCACAGTGATCCATGATCTAATGTCATTTCTACACTGGAGCTTTTATGCTTTACATGGCAACAAATTGTAAAAGAACATGGAATGTTATAAACATCTTTACTGTTAAGAGTATTTCATTCAAGCACTGAATTAATGTATAACAGAGTTTATAATTAAGACACCTCAGACATAACACTGAAAGGGTTGAAAAGAAAAAAATGTCAATATGACTGCATGAGGACTGTGCTTTCCAAATAATATCTCACAGTGCCCAACCCAAAAGTTTTAGAGGGAGTATGCAGAGGAGCATCCTGTCTCGTTATAAAAAGTTTCAGTGCTTAGTGAAATTGTTACTCGTATCATGAAAACATGCCACATGACATGAGCTGCTCTGACAGTATCATTAAGTAAATCCCAAATAAATAAATCATTATTTTAATGAGATTCCTGGTTTATGATTTAGTTTCCTTGTAGTTTCCTACGTGTGTAAAGAATAGCAGCGGCACGCACACAGAAAGACTACACAAGATAACACCTATACAGTGTGGTAACAAGAACTAGCCGCTGCAGCACTTTAAACATAGGGCGAATAACCCTAACAATTTAAAAAAAAAANGGCCGAAACATGTAGTGTAGGGGAACAAGATCAAAGACACAAAATATATTGTTTGCACTTGAGATGGAGTTTTTATCATTATAACATTAATGAAATCTGTTGAACTCTTCTTTTTTGTAAAACTGGTCCCAGAATAAACAGCGTTGTAAAGAATTGGTAGCGTTAAACGGGCAATGACGAGTAAAGGGAAAAGGTAACAAGCCGTCGAGGCTCCCACATTTTCCAGACAGTCAGCTCACAGATGATGGTGAGGTTGTCAGCCTAATGTACCGGCCAAACTTAACCCCCCCCCCCCAGGAAGATTCCTGGTACTCATTTCTGTTAGTGGCTGAGTCGACCCCTGGGTCATAGTGTGAATGGAATTATTAGGTCAACTGAAAAATCAGATGACCTCATTGGGAATCCAACCCGCGATCCTCCGGCTTGTAGCATAGTGCCTCACTGGAATTAACAGAAGCATAGGAACATGACCTCCACCCAATCATTGTCCTGAACCCGAGACTCAATTTTCAATTTCCTGACATCCTTAAATTCTCTGCATATGTACATTTTCATTTTACTACTCGTAACCTTGACCATGACCATGAAAAACTGCTGGTGAGATTATGCCTCCCTTCATTCATACTACATGCGTGGCATATCACACTGTATCTCCAGTTCATTTATTTACTTAGTCCATGTCTCAATGCAGGATACAACAAGGTCTGCAGTGAGTCACTACCAGAAGAAACAAGGTTCTGCTAACATAAGTGGTCAATTGTATGAAATAAAGATGGTAGCCCTGCTATTTGCTAGGGCACTCAATGGGACAAAGGACTTCTATCTTGCCAGTAACATGGAATCTGCTGGTAAATTTGATGATATTGTTTTCACACTTCATGATAAGACAGCTTTCATACAGCTGAAATATCGCAGTAATGCCAATGCTAAAATAAGTAAACAGAACCTTCTTCAGGAGGAAGGAGACTACAGCCTTGAACAACACTTCAAGTCATACTGCAAAATCAAGCAACAGTGGCTACATGATGAAGATCTGAAACACTGTGGAACTTTTGAGAATGCCTCCTTCATTATCTATACAAATTGTATAATGTCCATGGATGAAGGGAATGATGTTGTTAACAGTTATTGGCATAAGATTCTCAGCTCTGGGGGGAAATGTGTCTCTTTCACTATAGAGAATTCTATGATGAAACGATTTGAAGGGTCACTAGATTTTAAGGAGTTCCTATCCCAGCTGTTATTCTTCAGTGGGCAAGCAGCTCTGGATAAACTCGATGAGTTAATAAAAGGGGAACTTAAAATTCTGTATGGGACAAATGAATTATATAACATGTTTCATGATAAGGTATTAGAATGGTGGAAAAAATCAGAATGTTATCTCACACATCAAGAACAATTCTGGAAAGACATTCTTCAGACTTATGTTGAAAACATCTCAGAGCAAAAGCACAAAGAAACGGAAGAACTGTGTATAAAATTCAAGAAGGCTGTACATGATGTAATGCGAACACTCCTTATGTTCAACCCAGTGGTACACATTACATCTGCCTCACCCATCCTCAGCTGTATTAAGGTACACCACAGCTTACAACATCAGTGTCACCTCTTAATAGATGACAGAACCTTGCAATCACAACAGAACGAGGTGCTGGCACTGTGGAGCAGAAGGTGTGACTTGCTTGTTGTAGTGGAGGCCAGCACTGTAAATATGGAATTTGTGTTTAAGATTCTCCAAATGTATCCACAGAAGAGACTGGTTCTTGTAGGCGGAACTGTTGCCTTAGATAAGCTACAGCACAAGTATATCACATTCCACGATCATATCATAGTGGGGCAGCTGGATGAGGCAACACAGGCCCGAGTGCTGGCTATTCAAGTGCACTTCCAGGGTTATGATGCCTCTCTTGGAGAAATATCTGGCAGCAACCATGACTTGGTACCTGCTAGTATAATCACACAGCTATTGAGAGACAGAGTGGTGCTGGGAGATTCTCTGACTGGTGACATAAGTTACTATATACCACGAACTTTATACCGTACTGTTCAGGACAATGAGCAAATTCTGCCTCATGGAATGACAGATTTGCCTGTCACATCTGCTGTGAGTGGCTTGTGCTCCCATGAACTGTCGCCTCAAAATTATGAGAACGTTGATTCAGTAACAGACATTACTCAGCGTGTGGTACTAGTGTCTGCTGAGCCTGGAATGGGCAAGTCAGCCCTCCTCACACATTTGGCACTGGGCACAAAAAAAGCCAAACCTAATATGTGGGTGGTAAGGTTGAACCTTAGTGACTTCACCCAGCACCTGAAAGAACTGCCATCCAACTTACAACTGCATCATATAACAGAGTTCCTACTGGAAGTTTCAGGAATCTCAGAACTGTGGAAACCTTTGTTCAGATGCAAGCTGGAAACAATGGAAAATGTGTGTGTGTTATTTGATGGGTATGATGAGATATGTCCAACCCATGCAGAAAAAGTAGCTCTCATGTTGAAATTTCTACAGGCAACCAAACTGCAATACCTCTGGGTTACAACACGGCCAGTTATGAAAAAGAAACTGCAAAATAAACTGTCCACATTGGCTTTCACATTTCAACCATTCTTAAAATCTGACCAGCAAAACTTCCTAGCTAAATTCTGGAAGAGACGTATACCTGACATTGAGGATCGTGTGTTGAATAACTTTGTAATTAGGCTGCTACAGTTAACTGCAAACAACCTCAACGACAGAAACAGGGCCTTCATGGGCATTCCTTTGCAGTCCATGTTGCTGGCTGAGGCCTTTGAAGACAACTTGAAAACTTACAATGAGAAAGGTGTGCTGACACTTCCACCAAAGTTTGACATGATCCAGCTTTACAACAGGTTTGTAGAACAAAAATTTAAAATTTTTAATGACAAAAACAAAGTGGATATGTCAAAACCTCAAATGGAAGTTTACTGCAGATCAATGGGAAAAAAGTTCAGAAAAGGTCATATGATCTCTGCTGTGTTCTTGCTTTTGCCTACTGATGAACTGAGGAACTTTCCGGATTTAGATCTCATGATAGACAGATTTAAATCATTTTTAGCTACCCTGAAGGAAGGAAATGATCCAACTGGAATCATTACACAAATTCAGTTTTTTGAATCATTTACAGATATAGGGCATGAGGGTAAGGAGCCTGCTGGAATTGCTGAAAAGATTCTGAAAATTAAAACTGTGTTCATACATAGGACCTTTGCTGAATATTTTGCTGCTCTCTGGTTTGCTAAGAATTTTGAAAAGTTGCATAGTTACTTGAACATAAAAATGTTTGAACCAAATTTCCAAATGGTAAGGAAATTCTTTGACCAAGTTCTGGCCCATAAATTTCCCTTGCACCTTGCTGTTCTGAACCTGGACAAAGTTCTAGTGGAGACCCTGTTGTCAGAAAGGAAAGTGGACGTGAACACAAAGGATGAAGGTGGAAGGACAGCCTTACACCTGGCTGTGATGAGTGATATTGGTACACGAGATGATGTTCGTACCCATAGTACTGTGCAGCAGATCATAACAATTCTGTTGGAATATCAAGCAAATCCTAATATCGAAGACAAAGTCTTGTTCTTTCGGCCAATCCATGTAGCTGAGAAGCTCAGGGAGTGGTCAACTGTTGAGCTGTTGTTGGAAAAACAAGCTTGCACTGATGATTTGGTTCTCACTAGACAACATATTCATAATAAAGAGTACATACAGGATGTACTGATATCTGCCACAAACAACGGGTGTGTGAAGCTTGTGGCGTTCATGTTAAAATGTGGTGTACCTGTGGGACATGCCATTGAGGTTCTATATGAGGGATCTTACTGCATAGCTACAATGTTACATGAAGCAGCAAGACATGGACAGGTCAGGTTGGTACAAGAACTCCTGAGCCACGGAGCCAACACTGAAGCAACGGACAGTAGGTATAATAGAACTGCACTGATGTGGGCAGCTGAGCAAGGTCACTTCCAAGTTGTAGACACCTTAACAAAGCAACATAGTGACATTGATATTCGTGAAATGCATGGTTACACTGCATTACTGTTAGCAGCTAAGAATAAAAGGTGGGATGTAGCTAAACTGTTATTACAATGTAATGCAGATGTGACAATTTGTGACTGGTCACTTAATAATGTGCTGCACCTTGCTGCCGAGTCTGGTCCTACAGAATTTGTGGCTTACTTACTGGACATGAAAAAGATGGATATTGAGTGTTGTAATAGTCATCAAAAAACTCCACTGTGGCTTGCAGCTCAGTCTGGTCGCTTACAGATCACAGACTTGTTGTTAAAACATAACGCAAACTTACACGTGAAGGACAAGGATGGACGCACACCTCTGCAGGCAGCAAATGCTTGTGGTCATTTGGAGGTAGCACAGTTGCTTCTTAAACATGGCGCCAGTATGACAGCATGTAATGCGCACCACTAGAAGTAAAGTGACTAATCCCATGTGGAGCCAAAATTGATTGGAAACTGTGATTCTCTGACCATTAACAAGCCTGCATATGTCATACTGCTCATTATGTACCAAACTGTGAATGATATGTGCCATATTTTCAGGTTATAAGATGCACTGGGATTTTAGAGGAACATTTTTGGAGTAGAAACTTGCAACATCTTTCGACTCTTCAAGATGAAAACTGATTTTGGACATTACTTTCCAAGGAAGGAGTGCCTTATAGTCTCCAAGATAGCAAATTTAGTAATATGTAAGACTAAATATATAAAATATACATATTATGGAAGTACAATATGACATCAAGTATGTCACTCACTAAAAAATGTATTTTAATAATTTTAATATTTTTAAAATCATTAAAATGTCAATAGGACACTAAAAGTTGGCTGGCAGCTATGATATCCTATGGAAGTAACAGCCTACTTCTGCTTGTAACTGAGGGTTGCAAATTTTTGTAACCTCATCGGTTCGAACCAGCATACAAATTTTTTTTGAAATTGAGGAAACACTCTTTCTTCAAAGCTGACTGGCTACATATCCGCAAAAGATTTGTGTTACAGAGATCAAATGTATCCAGGCCTCACTTTGACAATAAATTCTGTGTCTCCAACTTAAGTATTTCCACCTTATGGACAATTTACCCAAGATATAGCTTAGCAAATACACGTATAAGTAATTCAAGCAAACACAGCTCCAGAAACACATAATTTACGTTTTACTTAACTGCCTCCATTAATTTTAGGATAAATCTCCCTTTATCCTTCAGTAAACACTCCAATTATACTATTCCATACAAAAAATGAATGAAGGGTTGTAACTTAAAACTCATTAAATTTTGTGATGCCTGACAATAACTATGGCTAACTACAATTTCCAAGACTGCAAACTGTGCCAGCCAGAAAGTATTACCATCAAAGGACTGCTCCTGTATAATAAAGCCTCTTCTGAGATCAACGGGTCTAAAGTACAAGCCCTTAAACAAAGACCCTTCCTATTATCCTTCACAGACTGTTCTTGCATCTTTACATCTGGTAAAATCATGTCTATTCTTGTCCACCTGTTACCTTCCTACTTCAATCACATATCATCATTCACTAACCCAATTTTAAAACCAGGTCTTAAAAGCTGCCAAAAAAACTGTTTCTCATTCCTTGCATCTTGAAATTCCACCTATACCCTCTCATAAACTGTTTTCTTTTGTAAATTTCAGAATTTTTCTCAATATTCAATGAAGACTTTATGTTTATTACCTGTTCTCATAGCTATTAATATCTGCTGTGACAAAGACCTTAAATCGAACACTCACTACAGCCACTAACATAATGACTACTGTTTTAACAGTCTGTAGTTACTTTTTTAACATCACACAATGACTGTACGCTCCACATATCAATTATTATAAGATTGGAAGTTTTCTATCATTACTTTTACTCAGCCATGTTCTGTCCTGGCCTTACATTGACCTGCATATCACTTGGTGGGTCCTTATGCCCTGAAAGACTACAGAAGACAGCTCATTTCATACATGAAATCCCATACCACTGTAAATTTCAGAACTTCTTTAGTGACTGCAGCCTACTGGTTCAATGTGGGCATGTAACAGCATATCCAAGGAAACTATTCTACGTGAAGATACATATTTCTAAGAATAACAACTGAAGTGAATGCAAAGCTCAAAGTATCTGCCAAATTCAGTAACCTCTTCATGGAGCTGGGCCTTTCTTGAGAAGCTACCAATTATGTACCTACTCAAGAATTTCCCAGCAATTTATGGAACATGCAGGTTCATTACCGTGTTCACAAGAACCCTCCACTGGTCCCTATCCTGAGCCACATCAATCCAGTCCATACCAACCCACCCTAAGATCCATTTTAACATTATCCACCCAATACGACTTATCTTCCTAGTAGTCTCTTTCCTCCTGGCTTTCCCACCAATATCCTATATGCATTCCCCTGCTCCCCCCAATTCATGCTACATGCCCTGCCATCTTATTTTCCTTGACTTGATCATTCTAATTATACTTGGAGAAGAGTACAAGTTATGAAGTATCTCATTATGCAGTTTTGGACAACCTCCTGTCATTTCATCTCTCTTCGGTCCAACATCAAAGCAGTGGGTATGCCTCCAAACAAATTATCCAATTTCCTCTGGCCACTCAAAGATAGCCTGGGACTAAGGACACCGGGTGTATACAGTATCCCATGCGAGTGCGGCTAGGTCTATAGTGGGCAGACAGGCCGCTCTGTGGACATGAGGTTGAAGGAGCATCAGCAGCACATCTGTCTCGAACATCCGGACAAGTCAGCCATAGCTGAACACAGCATCGATCTGGGACACCGTATTCAGCTTCGCCACCAAGACCCGCTATATGGATCGCATCATTTGGGAAGCCATTGAGATTGAACTCCATCCCGAAAATATGAATAGAGGGGGGGTTTGCCTCAGCAAGTCATGGAAGCCTCTCATCTGTTCTCTTAAAAAAAACCCCAGGACGACGCCAGATCCAGAAGGCTACACAGCCATGACCGACTAACATAACAACCCCCACCCCACCTTAAGGGTTAGTGCCCATCCTTTAACCTTGCCTTTCTCTCTCCCAACACAAAACCCTGGTTCTCTCCCTGCTCCTTTCCCCCCTTCCCACTCCACTGATTTCACATGTAGACCTGCCCTTCCCCCCTTCCTTCATTGCTCACATAGCTGTGCATATTTCCAACACCAGTCTGCTTGTACCGGTTCTCACAGTCTCTTCGCCTGCGAATTTATTTTTCCTTCTACCCTGAAGATGGAGGTGATACGTTCCTCCGAAACGTCGGTTAACACCACATATACACGGTACCAAATCCCAGACGACTGCTTTCTTCAACATATACATAGTTTTCTCTGTTTACTTCATGGGTGCGCGAGCTCTTTTTACCATGTTTGAGGCCACTTTGTGGAGCACCTGTAAACTGATGCTGTTGATCGCCGTCGTAATGTTCCTCTTGAGGTCATCTACTGTATGTGGATTGTTTTTATAGACAATTCCTATGAGGTACCCCTAAAGGAAAAAATCTGCAGTCGACAAATCAGGCGAACGTGGGGGCCACAATCCTTTTGAAATGAGACGGTCATGGAAAAGCTCGTGCACAAACTGCATGGTTTCATTAGATGTGTGACATGTGGCACAGTCTTGCTGCAACCAACGAATACCTTCATCAACCTCAAGACACGCAGCGAACTGTGTAATCTCGTCTTGGTACACTGGACTGTTCACTGTTGTTTCAAAGAAAATTGGGCCCACTATTTGACATGTTACAGCATACCAGACTCCAATTTTCTGACAGTGCGTGGGCTTTTCATGTAACATGTGGATATTCAGATGACCAAATACTATTGTTTTGGCTGTTCACGTAGCCACTAAGGTGAAACCACTCTTCGTCGGTAAAGAAAACCCAATCAAACTCTTCAATTCCATGGTTGCCAACAAATGTCTGAAACCCTCTACAATACACTAAACGTTTTTCTTTATCCAGGTCCTTAAGTTCCTGCATACAGCAAACGCAATATACATGAAGGTGTAACTTCATCGCTTTCTGAGCCCTTCTGTACAAAATCCCTTATTGCGCCGATAGTCTCCTCAGGCTTTTTGAAGGGAAACACTGCAACATTTTTTCCACATCACCCAGTTTAGCTTCAGTCAAAATGGCCGGTATCCCAGATCTCTTCCTATCCGAAACTGGTCCACATTCCTGAAATCGGTTGATTATTCTCGTTATCGTCAAATTGTTAGGAACTGCAGAATCCGGATATTCCCAACGAAACTAGTCTGTGACACATGCAAAAGAGCGACTGGTGAAATAATGTTCCACAATGAAAACTCATTCTTGGGAAAACAACATGTCTGTCACACAATAAACAAAGATATACCACAGATGTCGTATGACCAATACAAGACAGATGCCATTTCTACTCGTTAGTATTCCTACAGTACCATCTAGTGGTAGATATAACTATATTAACTACAATACAATTTATAACAACTTTTAGTTTGATGTGCATGACTTTTCGAGCTCCCTGTATTTGAATTGCGCCTCATTTTCAAAGCATCTGTTAGCTATGTCAGGAGTCTGCCTTGCAAAATAAAATCAACACTACATACATTTTTCACATGTCACACACCCCAAACTGTGGAAGGAAGCAGCTACTCACAGATGAGAGTGGGTTATGTAAATAACACAAAACTCAAAGGCACAGTGACATAAATATTTATTAAATAAAGTTCACATGGTAATAGTGTGAACAGAAATAATAATGACAGTAAAATAAAGAAGGGGGCCATAAGCACAAATCAGAACCTTCTGCAGCTCCGGAGCAAAGGTGGTGCACTCCCCAAACACAATCTCGAAGCCAGGAAAAAGCCGTCTCCAATTACTGGTGGGATCTGAATGAGCCCTGGAAGAGAGTCACAAGGGACCAGGTAAAGGGGGAAGAAAGGGAAGGTTAAGGTAGGGTGGGCAAAGAGGGAAAAACATCAGAGAGGGAGGCAGTAGATATAACATTACACCATGATGGAAAAGTAGTAAGAAATAAATAGTGTATAAATTATTTTATTTACTCATCTTGGACTTTCTAGCGATTATGCAAGTCCATTTGGACTATCAAGGATTACACAAATGCACGTCAATACTTGTCACATTTACTGATAAAATTTTATGCATGTAAAATGAAAATAAACTTTTACATTAATGACTTCTTCGTACAAACATGGAACATGAGATGAAACTGCCAGTTTACACATCCATACAATTTATACAGAGTAACATTCAGCAACATAGTCAGCAGAGTCTGAGTCTCCTTTTACTCAAGCATCCCGGGAACTGAAAAAGAAATGCAGGTCAGTATTAGTATCTCCCCACAGAGGTGTCAGGTATGCATATCTAGGGACAATGCTATGTAACAACAATGAATACTCCTCTGCCACCATGTTCATGTCATTGTTGGCTGGCCACCACTTCACAACTAACTTGTCCTATTCATCCTCACTATACAACCTCAGCATAGACCACAGAGAAAACACCAATTCCAACAGCTCCTCTACTGTTGTGTGTCAATTTGTGGCTCAAGAAATATGTTTACCAGCCACTGACTACCAATGGACTTCGCTTGTTAAACTATTCAGGCTTTCAATCTGCAAGCAGATCACCATTCTCATCCTTCCCTAAGTTCCTGCTAGGCTGGTAACCCCTCTTAAAGTCATTTATTCCTCTATACAGGGCTCTAATGTTCTTGTTCTCACTGTTCATTACAAGCTCATCAATTTTGTCTTTCAGATATTCCCTCTTTTTGTTCCTGAAATGCCTGCTGGTTTCACATCTTATATTGTTCAGATTATCCCCATTTAACTCGCTTGGATCCTGTAACCATTGCAATTTGGCCTGCTTTCTTTGATCTCTTAACTGCAGATATGATTCTCGTATGTATGAAAAAACGTGTCCCTAATTCATGATTTTCATTCCACTTTCCATCGAAAAATGTATGGCCTCCTGCTGGTGTGATGCCACCTCCATCCCATCTGACCTCCCACTAAATTTAACTTATATTTTAAGATTTCTTCTGCCACTGCTCTGAGCAAACCTGCCTTATACAAACTTAACATTATAACACCTAATTACATACTCGTATATTCTACTTACTTAACAAAATGGATGAACTTGGTGTCAATCTTCAGTCTCTTTACCGTCCTTCAACTAAAAAGGAAAAAAAATCACTGTAATCTGTGTACACATATCAGACATCACACACAAAGCACAAGAATCAGTGACTGACAAGACGAAACTAAAGACAAGATAAAATCTTGTTATATTAAATGCCAATACAACTCAAGATTAACTGTAATGTAACAAATGTGTAAGCCTTACATCAAAGTTTTATTTCAAGGAATATGCACATATTTAAATCTAAAGAGAAGAGTTCCAAACAAGCAAAACTTCAGTAGTGATGATGCACGTATGATATCTTGGATTTTTGGAAATTCATCACATCCTATCTTTGGTTGTCTGATGAACTCATTTGAGATTACATACAGCTGCAAAGTCAACCACAAGTACTTCTCCTGGTAGAAGAAAACATGACACTTATTACAGAAAACATTCTTTCAAATTTTAAATTCTGTAAGAGCAATGAAGTAAATGTACTAGATCAGATCAGCTCTGATCTGCTCTAGAAGCGCCCCCCCCCCGACAGAAAAAAAAAAGACTTATGAAGCACATGGTTAAATCTGTATGTTTTAGAAACCTTCATATTACTCCTACTTCATTTCAACTTAATCAAATCTAGATTACTTCAAGGAAAGCCAGTCACCCTAATCATAACAAAACCACGTAAGGGCACCAAAATGTTTTACAACACCAGCACCTAGTAAATGAAAGCTTGGTTAAATCATATTGTAACGTGTTTGCAATCCAGAAGAGTCACTTCTATGGAAACGCTAGAACAGACCGTTGCATAGGAAGTAACAATAGCGATACTGTAATCCCAACAGTGAGCCATTGTGTCGAGGACATTGAATCTCCACGGTCACGACGAATACGCGAAGCGTTCCCCCAGAGACAACGCAATAACAATGGGTCATTGCGTAGGAATCGCGGAACCAACAAAGCAACGTTTCCACTGTTATAACAGAGGGTTCATTTGCATAGCAGTGGCCGACGGGATAAATAGCCCAGCTTCAACAAGCAGCAGCCAGTCTTGCAATATCCGCCGCAGAAGAGAGTCTGCTATAAACCGCCAGAGAGGGCAGTCCAGTACCACCGAGATATTGTAAGCAGTATTTGTAACACTGCAAGTGGTAATGATTGTAAGGTGTGGGTGAGCGGAATAAATTCGCTATATCAAATACCACGGCGTAAACTTATTTGTAGCGTGACACAACACACTACAATATGTTGCATCTTGGGGGACCATGAAGACACATACCATTCACATTCCTTTCCCATCATAGACGAGTTATAAAATGTGATCTTAACTCAAAATTTCTGTGCTATGAACAACAAGACTGACTGCATGGTATCTATGAAATAACGTACTTTTGGGGCCAATATGTAGTAGAGGAACAGTTTTAACGGGAAACAATTCTGCAAAGCTGGTGGGGAGGCAATGTCAGAGAACTGAACTCAATTTATACAGGTAACAATAATCTTTCCATAAACTTTTCCACTCGGAAGGCAGAGGGGGAAATAACAGCTTAGTGCTTTATGAATATGGCATAGAAAGAACAAGGCTTCCATTCCTACAAACTTACTATATGAAGACAGATCTATCTCATCCGGCAACTCTGAGATATTCACATCAAAACGATCCTGCACTTCATTCAGAATCTTGGCATCCCCTTCATCACTTACAAGTGTAATAGCCAGGCCCTGAAAAACAAATTAATTTAAGTACATAAACGGTACAAAATGAGCTTTGTCCGGCAATTACAACAGTTCACCATGATATTCTGCTGTTCATCTCTACATCACAAATGCCCATTTCATTCAAGAAACCTATTCTGGTATTTTCACTTTCAAGATGTAACCATCTGGAGATTTTAAATGGAATTAGTATTTGTAACAGAAAACATAACTACCACCTCAACTTGAATTGTGAATATTTTGTACGTTACATCAAATATGAGATGTATGAACACACTTATAATGCATTCTGCCAAAACAGCCAACTACCCAGACATCAGATACATTTCCAGAAAACAAAACACTGCATTAATTTCCTTAATTATATAGCGGAGCCAAAAAATGTAAATACACTTTAATAGACATTATTTATGGACATTTTGAAACGGAATGTAATGTATGGTGTGTGATACTGTCTCAAAAGATTAAGTGCATGCTCAGTACAAGAACACAATCCTGTGACAGTGAAAAAACTTAAAAGTTAACTAAATAATACGAAATAAGAAGATTAAATACAAACCTTAGTGCCAAATCTTCCAGCTCTTGCTACCCTATGCAAATAAGTGTCAGAATCCTCTGGCATGTCATAGTTAAACACAATGTTAACTCGTTCAATGTCCATCCCACGCCCAAATAAATTTGTTGCAACCAGAATACGCTGCAAAGAAACAAATTCAGACACTATACTGCAGGTATCAGAGATATTTGCAATTAATAAAAATAACATAAACACCAGAAGACAGGGGAAAAACACTGTTTCTTATTCTGAACATGCATGCTGCAGGGCATTAAACCCCAACACTGCAACTTCTATTTACCAAGGTTCATACTACATTCCAAAGTGAAATGGCAACTTAAAATAAAATTCATTACCCCAGTAATTACCAGATCTTTAAATGGACTTTAAAATTCATAATTCTTAAGAAATCACCTGGACCTGATTTTTCACATACTCTTCACTTCAGCCTCAGTGAGAGCTTCATGTGTTTTGTTTTACCATGAGAAAAAAGAAGTGTTGCCCAACACACTGCAAAGAGAGACTACCGCCTCTTCACACATACAAGGTGTGGCAATAAAGAACCCGGATTACTTTTATGACTCATTTCCGGCCACGTCATTGACGAAGAGGAGGGTAGGGCATTTACCCTTGGACTTCCCTCTACCGTCACACAAAGTTTCATTCACGTGCATCGGTTAGTCTGGCCGCGACCATTGTTAGAAGCGGATCGTGTTTCTGAGCTCCGTCGGAATAATGCTGAGTGCTAATGCAGAACAACGTGCTAACATCAAATTCCTCACAAAACTTGGAAAATCTGCCACTGAAACTTACAATTTGTTGACAGAAGTATATGGTGATCAGTGTCTATCTCGCACGCAAGTTTTCGAGTGGTTTAAGAAGTTTATGGAGGGTAGGAAAAACGTCGGGAACGATCCAAAATCGGGCCGTCCTCCCACTGCGAAAACTCCAGAGAATGTGGAGAAGGTCGCTAGAATTGTTCGAAGAGATCGTCGACTGAGCATTCGAGCAATTTCTGAACTTACGAACATCAATAAGGAAAGTGTTAGACAGATTTTGCACGACGATCTGGGCATGAAAAAGGTGTGTGCTAAAGTGGTGCCAAAAATCCTTACCCCCCAGCAAAAGGAACATCGAGTGAATTGCTGTGTTGACACTCTTGAAAACATTGAAAATGATCCTGATTTCTTCCAAAACGTAATTACGTGTGACGAAACTTGGATTCTTCAATATGATCCAGAGACTAAGCGACAATCCATGCATTGGAAGAGCCCCAAATCCCCTAGGAAGAAGAAAGCGCGCATGAGCAAGTCCAAATTCAAAGCAATGATGATTGTTTTTTTCGATATCCGGGGGGTAATCTACATTGATTGGGTGCCTGAAGGTCAGACTGTCAATCAGGTTTATTATAAAAATGTTTTGACGTACCTCCGTGAACGTGTGCGACGAAGGAGACCAGACATGTGGAAGAATGCCTCATGGGTTCTTCATCACGACAACGCGCTATCTGTGAAGAGGTATTTGGCAAAAAACAACATTCCAGTGATGGAACATCCACCGTATTCTCCGGACCTAGCACCGTGCGACTTTTTTCTCTTCCCAAAAATCAAGTCTGCGCTGAAAGGGACCAGGTTCGAGTCCGTGGATGCAGTGAAAGCAAAAGCGACGCAACTCTTGAAGAGCATAACACAAGATGACCTGCAGCACTGCTTCCAACAGTGGAAAATTCGCATGGAGCGGTGTAGGGATCGGGGAGGGGACTACATTGAAGGGGATAACATTTTGACTGTCTGATTTTTTTTTAATAAAGGGTTAGAGCATGAATCCGGTTTCTTTATTGCCACACCTTGTAAAGCAAAAGGTTTCCTTGTGCCGAGGTCCCATGCCATGAAGACATGGGGGAATGGTCGTAAAGTCCACACATTTAAAACTTCAACACTTACTAGGAGTAGCAGCTTTATGACCTGACTACTTCACCTGATACCCACTTAACAAAGGGCTGGATGGATACCAATTGGTGTTGACATGATGGCACTCGCTTCTGGATTCCTACAATGCATTGTCACTTTCTGAGCCCAGCATTCTTTGGTAATGAAAATTATGTCCACACACATTACTTACCACTTCCAAAATAGCAGACGGGAAACAAAATCAATGCACATAAGTGGTTCAATGGCGATCTTGTTATCTCATCATATACATAAGTACCTACATATTAAATTAACAAAACAACAAAACTGTTTACCTTCTGGAAATCCTTGAACTGCTGATACCTCGATAATCTCTCTTCCTGTCCCATTCCTCTGTGAATGGCAATTGCTGGGAAATTCTGTTCAATGAGAAGCTGGGCAAGAGCCATGCAACGTTGTACAGATTTCACAAAGATTACAACCTAAAATCCAATTACATCCACATTACAGGTGCATAAAATCCTCCGTTTTCAGTAGTTCTGTGCACAAAATTTACTGAGATAATTCGAGAACAGCAAACAGTACCTGGTTGAACTCTAAAACGTCTAGCAACTCAAAAAGCTTTTTGTTCTTCTCATTTTCCTTCAGCTTGACATAGTGCTGCTGCAAACCATGCAGAGTCAGTTTCGCTTCATCATCCACATACACCTCCATTGGCTGGGAAGAAGAGCGGCAAACACATTTAGCAAAATACAACTCCCACCCACCTCAGTGGGGGGGAAAAATGCAAAAACACTTGCCAAATAGAACTCACTCACAAGTATTAATACAGGAGCAGAAAAATCTTTTGCCTTAAGATCACACATGCATTCTTTGCATAAACTGTATGAAATAAGGATATCTGTCCATCCAACTGCCAATATCTGAAAATACTGAATGGATTGCTGCACTTGGAATTGGCATCTTCAGCTATAGGACAATTTTAATTCTGGGTTGCAGCTACCAAATAAAGCCCATACCTTACACAAAACTATTCCTCCTTCAAATATGACTCACTGTACCAAATAATTTGTACTTTTGGTATAAAATATACCTATCATTAAAATCTAGACTTTTATTACACGACGAACATTTAACACAATACAAAAAAACGATCTGCACTCAACAAAGTACTTGCTGTGCAACAACTATTATACATATTTGAAATAAGTGAATGGCAATTAAGCAAGCAAAATACCAAAAAACATATTGAGAGAATGTCTACAAAACTGTTTCTTTGGCTGGCATGGGAAGTACGGCAAGTAGCAGCAAGACAGTGGTTGCAGCTGCATTGTGGGATGGAGGAATGTCCTGACACAACCCATATACATCCTGCAATCCTTATCTCAGTGGCTGCTGGACAAAATCCACTGCACAATCTCTGAAAAATGTGGTCTAAAATCATGGTGTGCCAACAGAGGCACTTTACACCCACCACCTTGTGCACCCATTACATGTCATTCCATAGTTTGGTACAGACTTACTTCATAGATGCCTAGAGTTTAATGCTTCATTCACTCACCAATAAAAACAGCAATTAAAATTTCGAAAATGAGAAACCAAATCATACATATACTGATCAATGTTTCTATTAGGCATTCCATTGCATTTGGAAAAACTGTTATTTCCCTTTTAAATTATAATAGTCATGCAGTGAAGTTATGAATTTAAAAATAATGCAAATGTCATATTGACATGCTAGATACCGCAAAACTAACTCTTATAAGAAGCTGCAGCGATGAAAGGTGGGGTTTATGAACATAAAAGATAGGCATAAGGCAATCATTTGAAAAACATTTCTGATGTAAAACCAGACAGAAACAGAGCCACAAACAGCAATACAAATCTGATATATTTAAAATCTCCAATTCAGAAAATACAACTTCAGTAAGTTATGTGAAGGACAAATGAGAACAATTTTTCTGGCTGTGTAATATTTGAGGTTTTCAAGGCGGTGACTATGAAGAAAGCCGTCTCCTTCATTTTTCCGACTGTTCATGAGGCAAATAATGCATGTGTCATATCATGTATCTGAACCAACCCATAATAAAACCTACAGATATAAAACACAAATATGAAGCAGACATGAAATACAACTTTCATACTAAGTCAGATCAGAAACAGTACAGGTAGGGAACTAATCTCTTTTTCTCTGAGCAAAGACTCATGCTCATTGAGATATATATATACCACACTGGATGCTGATAATTTGAGTAACTGATATTGCGAGTTAAAGATTAAAATTACATGATTCTGGGAGTTAAAAAAAAATGAAAATACACGAAGACTTTTTAGTCATGTATATACAAGAGGGCTCAAGTGATCTAAAATTTTTGTGAAACAAATCACTGCGTACATAAAACTGCCATAAGAAATTCTGTTTTATGGAAAGAAAGATGTATGAAGGACTAACAAGTATGCCCTTGTGACTCCACTCCTGTATTAATGCCTTGTTCCCCACCCTCAAAGATCATTCCAAATCCTTCTGTCCTATTTTACGACAGCAATATGGATTTCAGTTACCAGACCCTTCAAAAGCAGGCTTTTGTTACATACGGTTGGTTGATATGGGAGGTAGACAGACCAAACCAGCCTTCTCGAACCCAAGCAAGATGCCACAAGAGGAAACCAGAGTTGCATCAGCAGCTTCACCACGATGCCATAGTAACTTCGTCAACACAACTGACGTCCTAGCCAATTTGGAGCGCACTGTAGCCATGGCCAAAATTCGTGAACTACTATGCTGGATAATGATAACATGAACGCCGTTCAAGACTGCCACCCCAATCCCGAACACCCAACTCATCTTCAGTCTTGAAGCTTCTTTCTTGCATCTTCTATCTTCATCTTCTTCAATCTTCTATTCTTCATACCCCCACATACTGACCCATGAATATTGCAAATAAAAATCCCATTCCTCCCAAAAATGACTGCTACAGTGCTGACAAGAACGGACGGAAATGTAGAAAGAATGCAGATACAGAGGGGAAGTGTTGAGGATATCCTGGGGAAAACTATGCCCAACAAAGCATGTGTTATAAATTCTGGTGACCTTGTCATCAGAATATCATAGGGAAAATGGAGTGTGGCAGAGGTGAATGCGTTCTCTCTGGCCGAGGATGATGGATAGTATGACAGGTTTTCTCGTTGCCCAATTAACACGTGCATCTTATAAATTCTCAAAATGAATAGCTCGCTGGTGATGATTCTCAGCTGACGAAACAAATACAACCAACAACGCGATTCCAACACTATGTAATAAATGGTACATAATGGAGATGAATTACATCTTGCATGAACTTCTTGCAGACTGGGCGAATTTCCTTGCTCAATGTAGCGCTGAACATCATCACTTGTTTCCCATGAGGTGTGTTCCGGAATATTTCTTGCACATCACGTCTCATGTCTGAAAATAAAAGTCAAATGGAACTGCTAGGCAGAAATTCTTTTTCTGACGAAAGCAACACCAATTCCTTCAATTCACACGATGGTTATATTCATTGTCTGTAAATGCCCCACAAGTCCCAAACAAAGAAATGTTCAAAATATCAAAGACTTTCTGTAAAGCTGTCATAATATTTTGACTGTTTACTGACTCAAATGGCCTCATCACCAAATGTCCTTTCCCTTCCACAACCATTCCTTCAACTTCATGACTTGTTAGGCACACTCACTGATCATATCAAAATGTTTTTCTTACACCATCATATTCCTCACTTCAGTCTACACCTATGCCTTCACATGTCCCAGACTACATGAATGACACAAACATAGCATTTCAATCCTTATGGTAGATACTCAAATTAAGATTTATGCAACTGCATAAACAAATACAAAAGCTACAATTTTACTTACTTTCATATATCCTTTCAAGGTTTCACTTAATTACATGAAAATTTCTAGTTATCAGGAGGAAAACAGAAGACCCAGAAACAAACAACATTTCTGTTGGGGCTAAAGTTTTGGGTTTACTTTTAATTATCAGACTCGTATATATTATCTACCACAGCCTTACATCTGCAATGTGAGTCATTAACATGCCACTCCATCATGTTCTACAAACAGAGCTTTCCTACTGGCAGCATATGTGCCACATCTTATTTACATCCCTGTGCTTCGTGTATCTTATCATGGGACACATATCTGTATCCTAATATTAAAAAATATAGTTTTTTGTGATCATCAAGTAGGTACCTAGGGTAAAGTATGGCCCCTGCAAGGGTCGAAAGGAAGAACACTGTTCAAGAAAAATGTTAAAAAGATATGAAGTGTTTCCTTTTCTGTGCTAATATGACCGCAAAGAATCATGTACTGTCCATGCAATTATGTGTCCCTAGGCTGCATAGAGTTCACATTAATTTCTTACCCATTGACAACACACTACCAGTAAGAATAAAAGACCATTTAATACAACATTCAACCAAAACTTGAACCATTAATTATTATTAAATACTTACCAAGAAGTTCAAGCATTTTATCACATTCATCCAAAATAAAATGCTTCAAATGTTTCAAATTCAATTTCTTGGAGCGGACAAGTGCTAGAATCCGACCTGGAGTCCCGACTACAATATGTGGGCAACTGCTCTTCAATACCTCCTCATCCTTCTGTATTGGCAATCCACCAAAAAACACTCCCACCTGCAAGATTATTATGCATCGTTGCAGCTACTTTGGAATTTAAAATTTAGTCCTAGTAACATTATCAGTCTGGACAACTTATAAAGCAAACCAAACAGCACTAACTTAGGTCACAGTGATCTGCATACTATACACCACAAAGTACAGCAAGTCTAGTAACAATGAAAGCCGAACGTATCAGATGGATAGGTGTGGGCAAGATTTACTTTCTTCCTGCATAATTACTTCACAATATTGTAATGGATGTGATCAATGCGTTGCCATGCAACACCTCTGTAAACAAGGTCCAACAACAATAGTAGAAGCTGTATTTTTTCTGTAAATCTGACTGAGGTGCCAAGAGACTGGCTGGATAGCGAACATGTGATGCGTGTACTGTAGGTCCATGTCCGTTCTGTGGCTACATAAGTGACAGAATTTGTTCAAGGGCAGTTACGAATAGCAGTAGTAGCGACAGATGCACACAAACCAAAAAGCAAGGAGATAGCCACAGGAAGTTCATAGTTGAAAAAGAATTGTAAGTTGAACTGTGAACACTCAACATCTCTAATATCTGGACTATGTAATTCAGTGAGACTATTACAGTTCCTGTATGATAATTACATGAAGACTAGTGCAGACAGACTGAAGATATCAGTGCGGTCATCGACTCATTGTAAATTGTGTAAAGCAGCAATAGTATAATAATTAAATGTAGTTACGACCTGTAGGTTAGCAAATCCAATTACCATTCTGAACCCCAGATTTAGTCACCCATACGCATCACAATATTAAAACTTTGGGAACCCCGTGAAGTCATTGGATTGGGGAATCTATAAATTATCCACATATTCCAATCTGGGTATAAACAAATTAAATTTGTGATTGGAACTTAAGGCAAGAACAAAATATCTTAACTTTCCATGTGGTATTCAACTCAAATAATTGTGCACATTTAGATGTTCAACCTTCAATTTTCTGATCAAACGCCCAATTTTCAATAGCTCTGCATATCTGCAAATCTCTTACACAACAAGTGACTCTCTATCTGAACATTAACTAAGTGGCATGGCATTTTCATAAGAAGGTATAAGACAAGCAAATATACCTTAGTCTGTGGCATGTATTTAGAGAATCTTTCATATTCCTTGCTGATCTGGAAAGCCAGTTCACGTGTGTGGCACATCACAAGTACATACACTTGGTTTTCTGTAGGTTCCAATTGTTGCAATGTTGCCAGTACAAATACTGCTGTTTTTCCCATACCCGACTTCGCCTGACATAAAATGTCCATCCCTAGCACAGCTTGTGGAATACACTCATGTTGCACTGAAATAAAGACAGTACAAATCATGACCCTAAAACAAGGCATGTTTAGTGACATCTCTCACAGAATACACAATATCTCAAAAGAGAGCCGAAAAAAAACAAACATTAACAACTTTTGGACACTTCTAATATCTTTTTACCAAATCCTGTGATCCAATTAATCAGTACTTATATGAGGGTACAGATTTAATTACAAAATTCCAACTATTCACACACTCCCAGTACTAAAAGAAAAACATATCACAGACCATCACATGTAAACCAATTAGCTGTCAGAAAATACTCCCCCCTTTCATAATGTCACATTCACATTACACATTTCTGATCTCAACATTCAGAATTATACAGGTTTGAAGAAAAAACTTCCCAATAGCATATACAAATGGCTGACAGTGAAATCGTATTATCACTTTGCTTTCTTCAACCCACCTACCACGAATCTTCAATAGCTTCATTAGAGCAGAGTTCACAGCCAAGAAGTCTTAAGTCCTGACATGCAAGACAATAGTCTGCTCACTGACATATGTCATTGTTACTATTCATCCTGAAACCTGAATCTTCAAAAAATTTCCAAATTGGAAAAGTAGACAGAGAAAATTTTAATTTTCCTAGCATATTTTCATCCCCTGAGCCTATGAACCTGAACTTTAGTACAACCATTTTCAAATCAGACGAATGAACTAGCATACAAATTAGCACATCAGAATAAACTGAAATCTATCACTAAGTTTCAGATGTCCCTATCTGTTAATTATCATCATGTGTGCTAAACTGCCATCGTCCTTTAGTAATTTTTATGTAACATTAAATATTTATCCTCATGTAATTTTATGTTTTATTGTCATAAGAAAATAAATTACCTTCTGATGGGTGCTCAAAGCCACAATCAACAATTGCTCGCAAAATTTCTGGCTTAAGAAGAAAATCCCGGAAACCAGAACTGTGGATGGAGACGTATGTCCCCTTCACTTCCTTCTTTGTGGCAGCATCACCAGATCCATCAAGCACAGCCTGTTCTGGCTGCTCCTCATCCTCGTAGTCAAGAAGATCATCATTGTCAGCCATGTTTTGGGGTCTTCTAAGTCAAGCCAACAAAAATGGAGTCCTTTAATTTGATTTGCTTAATTCTGGTCCATCACACTAACATTATAAAAAGATAAAACAGTTCCATCCAGTGTGACTGGTGGCGATTTTTCTTATTTCAATTATACAATAATACAATATTCAATAATATACTAATGGATACAAAATCCAAAGGTTTACAACTACAGCAGCTGTCTTGATATTGTCATGTGTTGGGTATGTCACGCGACAAGTAACTTCACGCCTCATTTGATACAGTGAATTTACTGAACACTCGCTCTTACAACCACACACTTTAGAATCTCACAATTACTGCCATCGGCAGTATCACAAATACTTCTCCTGCTGTAGTCACTGCCATGCACTCGATACAACCAGACTCGGCTACTGCTACAATTCAACTGACTGGTTAATTGTTACTCGCTAGTAACTTACTCAATGCTCACTCGTAACTGGCTCAATCCTCACTCTAGTAACTGGTTCACTAAACACTCACTACTTAATAGTGTTTGCTGCTCCTTATTTAGCCTCGGCACGGACAACACAAAAAACACTTACATGATAGGTAACACTGTTGCGTGACACCGTGTTTACTGGTGTTGCTAGCAACGCTGTCGAGAGTTGTCTCCTGCTGCGTAGCAACTGCGGTATCCCTTGGTAACAACACAGTCGCTCTTCTGCCACGTCGCCGTGGGTGAGGGGGGTGCCCATCGATCGTTGCATACTGATGGAAGGAGTGGGGGTATGTGATGTCACTCGCAAGACTGCAGAGTTCACTTGACCCCTGCTTCCCATTGCGCCATCCTCGTCACAATATATTCAAATTTTTGTATTTTTGTTAGTTAAGTTAGAATTTATAAACCAAATAGTTTCATGTCCTCTTTCTTATTACTTCTCTTGACGTGTGCCACCTGTCATTCTTGAGAAGGTTCTGCAAATATATTACAGGTATACTGTATTAGTTCAGCAAACCTGTTGTTTTTTTAAAGAGTTTTTGACGTTTCGTCCTACCTTTGATGTTGTCCTGTGGTTGTTCGTGGTGCAGTGTTGTTTTACTGTTCTAGGGTGCGTATTAACAGTAAAACACAGCGCACCACAAACCACAGGACGACATCAAAGGTAGGACAAAACAACAGAAACTCTTTAAAAACTGAACAGGGTTGCTGAAATAATACTATATATGTTCAGTCCCGTCAAGAGAAGTAATAAGAAAGAGGACAGGAACCTATTTGGTTTATAAATTCTAACTTAGCGAACAAAAATAACAAATTTTAATATACGAAGGGGGACCCAAAAATAACGGGAAATGACCTGTTGCTTTGTAGTTACGAGTTGTGCTGCTAGGTGGTGTTAGCTGGGGGTCTCCTGCGACTGTTAGTGAGCTGGCATCAGTCTGAGTTAAGTGGTTTGTCTGTGGTGCTCTGTTGTGTGCGTTCCTGTTTCAACCCTTTGACGATTAGTGAGATGGCCGACCAGAAGGAACAAAGAGTGTGCGTGAAATTTTGCTTTCTGTTAGGGACAACTGCACTTCACTCTTCAAGTCGCGGCAAACATTCACGCGGTTTTCTCTTTGGTCATCTCCGAGCAAGCGAGGAACAAATTTTGCAGACACCCGTCTCATGTGCAAACCTTCGGTTAAAATTCGCTGGACCGTGCTCCATGAGATGTTCGTTTCCTCAGAAAGTTGGTCAATGGTCTTTCGACGATCTTCATCAATTTCACGCACACTCTTTGTTCCTTCTGGTCGGCCATCTCACTAATCGCCAAAGGGTTGAAACAGGAACGCACACAACAGAGCACCACAGACAAACCACTTAACTCAGACTGACGCCAGCTGACTAACAGTCGCGGGAGACCCCCAGCTAACACCACCTAGCAGCACAACTCATAACTACAAAGCATGCGTGCGCAACAGGTCATTTCCGGTTATTTTTGGGTTCCCCCTCGTATCAAGACAGACGCTGTAGTTGTAAAAACTTTGGATTTTGTATCCATTTGTATATTATCAACAGTGCATGTATCCATTGTAATAGTAGTTTCCAAACTGTATTGAAGTCCCTCTGATGATGGTCCCTTAAGGACCGAAACATGTAAGGTCACGTAGAATTGAAACAAGAAAAATCTTCACCAGTCACACTGGATGAAACTGTTTTAGTTTTTTATAATGGTGTCTTTTACTTTTCACCCAACTTAGTGCCACAATAAAAAAGATACTGTACTTCTTCCATCTCTTTATCACTGAAAAATTATAAATGAAGTTTTAAAGCAGTGTTTAGACCCCATCCCTGTAAGTGCCATTTTCTAACACTGATGTACATCAGTTGCCTGACACTTCCTCACTGAATATTTACAAATCAGACTTTATAAAAGTAACCTGTAGGTTCTTCCTCTGGTAACTACTCCTTTCTCAACCTACCATACCTATCACTTCAGAATTGGAAGTTAACAGAAGCAGCAGAATATATCCAGGAGAAGCAATTAACAATGGCAATGGTCTTATGTTCACATATCAACATTACAGCTATTGGTTCAGCACTATGAGACCAAACCAACACAGACCTAGAATTGTTTGATATCAGTAATGAAAGAAATCTGCCTATTAAAACAATGTTTGATACAATTCTGAATCACTTGAAAGGAACCATATAAATTACAAGTGCACAGCAAAACATTGATTAATTTCAACTTGTTCAACCCATGTCAACAGAAGTATGTGACAAACTCAATATTTCAACAATAATCAAGACATCACAGGACTTCCCATTATTACAATTTTAATACAACTGAACTTACTTGGCATGATGAAACCAGAATAGTGCAATGGAGTACTTCAAGTTACATGCCATTAAAATCTGTACCATACAAATGATTCGGGAACAAATACTAATCTATAAAACTGCAGTGCACAGCAAAATGGGGGATGTGTAACCTAAATCTGGCACATGAATTCAGGACATTTAAGAATTAACTGCTACTTACAAGCTCCATTTTCTAAATATGAAGCCTAATACAACAAAGATGTGTTTTCTGAAGTAGCACTTTTTATGCTTACAAGCTCAAATTACTATCATAAGAGGTTAAAACAAAGCAAAAATAAAATTACTATCTTCCAAATGAATGCATTCAAGAGACAAACAAAAACGTCCATTATATAATACAGAATAAATCCCTATAAACAAAATGTTAATAACTTTTGTGAAATGCACCTATTCAACACATCAATGTGCTCCAGCAGTGGCAATATAACAAGGGTAATACAGCATTCCTGAAATGAACACAGCTGGTCAAGACTAATGTAAGCAGTCTGTAATGATGATAAGTGTAATAATTTGTCATGTCTTGTGTGAGTTGGTTAACAAGAGAAATTCAGTGCTGTTAATGGCTGGCAGAATTTCAGTTTTCTGAAACCGTTCAGCATGCTTCCTTACAAGGCTGTGTCACTGACACACATACATAAAAACAACAACCACATCCAAAAAGAGAACACACATCACGATATACACGGAGTATAAGAGGAACGACTCCCATAGTGGAGGAACCAAGTGCGGGTTTGAATTGGGACAAATAAGATGAATCTTAAAAAAATTTTGGTGTATAAAATTTATTAAAGTTGACGAATATTTTAAATAATTTTACAATGACATAATGGCAAGCAATGCAATAGATTAGCGTAAATGGAGCATCTGATGATGGCACTATCTTGCCGAAACATGTCGTGAAATAACAGGTGAAACTGAGTGCACTACATTATGGAAACTGCATACATATCATGGACGAAAATCAGTGCAACAGGACGCTAAAATACTGTGACATGCTGAGCTATGGATGACGCCCCTCCCCCACCCCTCGCCAGCCGTGATGCGCCAAGCGAAGCCGAAGCGAGCCGATGTTAGCCGAGTCCTAGCATCCTGGTCGCTAGGCAACGCGAGTCAACAGCGGTGACGTCACCAAGTAGTAACAGCGGTTACTACCGCTAGCGTTACTAGCAACACGGCGCCAGGCAACAAGGGTGCCTATTACGTGGCCGTTTTCCGTATGGTCCGATCAAGGCTACATGGGGAGCAGCGAAGGCTATTCACAGTCAGTTGTACTGAGTCAGTCAGTTAGTCCTGGAGCTACCGCCGAGTGAGTTCCGAGTTAGCCAGCAACTAGTCAGTTGTATTGTGGCATTTGGAGTATACTATTTGTGATACTGCAGATAGCAGTAATCGTAAATCTGTAATTTGGGTGATTGTAAGTGCGAATGTGAAATAAAATTCGCTATATAAAATACATCGTGAAGTTATTTGTCGCGATATACGCCCGATACGCGACAATACATTATACATAAAAACTATTACCTTCCAAACAGCATTTGCTACAACATGGAAATTCTGAGCAACACTGTGCAGGCAGTACACTGCAGATATAACACCTAAACAAGAGACCATTTGGAATGCTTTGCAGCAAAGTCAACAAAACTCCATTTAGTGAGAAAGCTACACTCTGAATTCCTCATCTGACAATCCATGATGCAGTGAATGGTTAAAACTTAAGGCATACAAGTCATAGTTGTTTTAGTTAATGCAGGAAAATGACTTGCTTCACCCCTGAATTATCGAAGACACAAGGGTTAACTCAGTGGGGTTTGCTTGGGTAAATTTAATGAACATTAACTCTTGCATTTGGGGACCCGAAAATCCTCATCATACTACAACGCGTTAATCAAATAGCCATAAATTGTGTAGTGCAGACTAACCACTGCTGGGAAGGTGCGGATCTTCCATTACAAAATGTAACGAGTGCTCTGTGCCTTGGCAAGCTAGAGAACTATGCTGTGCCACAAGCACCTGATGGGTATGTCTCAGAGAAAGATGGTGCACCACATTTCTGGACATTTCTCACTGGATTCCTCAATGAGACTTTCGCAAGAACGCGGTTCCGATGACGTGCCCCCCCCACCCCATTTACCGATTTGTGACCTTTTTCTATGGCGAGATGTCAAAAATGAGCAGTTCACATGAACGCGGTTCTGTCGAAGTGCCCCCCCTTTTACCGATTTGACCCCTTGACCTTTTTCTACGGCGAGATGTAAAAGACATCTTATTTAGGACCAAAGTCAATGACCTGACTAACATGAGCCGTAGGTTCTTCACTGCAGCTACGTCTGTAACTCGACGTTTCGACATGTCTGCATGGCCGCAACAAAGGTAATATGTTGATATTTATTAACATGACTGAACAGTTGATTAATTTTTACACTTTTCTCCACAAACAGCTTGCAGAGTCAAGTTACGACACTCTTTATCGGCCGTGCTCATTCCAGAAAAACACTATACAAAACAGGTTACTCTACTGCTGTTCCATGCGGCCATATCTCACACAAGAACTATTCTGAATCCAGCTGTTATCCTCTACTTCTGCTGATTACACGCCTGGCGTCTATCTGCACTACTGCTCCGAAAGACCACTCAACATTATTCGATTTTAGATACCACCTAATAAATCTTTCACATGCAGACAAGAACCTACGTCTAGACCAGCGTTATTAAGTAAGACCTCAAAAAGTCCAGCTATACACAGAACAATGGTACATCCGTGAGTACACATATTGCAATGAACACTACGGAATCACAGCGATACACAGCATTCAAGCCTTTCCAACGTACAGACACTTTTGATTAAATTGTTACAATGCACATACAAATTGTATATTATTACCGATTATAATAACAAATTTGGATGGAATAACTTTAGCCTACCTTCCGTAACTTCAGCTACTGCAAACGTACCAAAACAACGCAGGAAGTGACGCGTCCTAGTCTCAAGGCATTATGGACCGTTATGGACTGTTATGACTTCGCACCACGGAAACCTATTTCACAGATTATTAAACTACTTCCGGAATTGGAATTCCTACTCCGTACGAACACTCGTCCGTGTTCTGGCCAATCCAAGGATTATTACACTAAACGGACACAAATTTTAGTTTCATATTGTCACGTGTCAGTGATTTGGATGCGGAATTTGGATTGATAATCGGATTTATTGAACGCTTATAACTCGTAACTACAAACAAATGCAATATTTTCACTAATCTACGCACGCTACAATTCATTACTGCAAATACTAAGTCTTCTCAGAATGCTACGTCTTCACTAGTTGTTGCTTGGTAGTGGCGCCTAACAATGCAACTCGAGCCTGCCTGCTAACCTAAAGGTACTCGGGTGGCCGTCAACACACCAAACAATAAATAAACTGATATCAACATGAAGAAAGTTGTCTTCTGGGTTTAGGCACCGTGTATTCTTCGTTTTGGCCGACGTTTCGGAGGAACGTAGCGCCTCCATCTTCAGAGCAGTAGCAGTAGCTGACAGCTACTGCTCTCCGCAGCTATTCAACTGCTCTGAAGATGGAGGCGCTACGTTCCTCCGAAACGTCGGCCAAAACGAAGAATACACGGTGCCTAAACCCAGAAGACAACTTTCTTCATTGTCATCGCCGTGAAAACCTCAAAACTTACATGATATCAACATGTTAATATTCTGTTTTATTACACAAGTTCCGATTTGCACGATCATCTTCACGCGGTTACATAAATGTACAATCATCATTACTGAATTCTTTTGATCGCATTTGACTCGTATAGGTAAAATAGAGTAAAATATAGATATTGCACTTTAAATTCATTCCGTCATTAAATATAGCTATATAGTCATCACTGAGGCGAATGGGTCACTCCGCAGCAAAGTGACCAGTCAGGCACCGTATCTCGTGACCCAATTTCTAAGCATGTAAAAGTGTGGAAATAACAAAAATATGGTTACGGGATCCAACGGGGCTCGAAACCAAGAATGATGTGCTTGTGACGGCCAACAGCAATTTACTGGATTTCATTTGATTACTGACTACAATGTTTTACGAGTTGCATTTCAGTTGTCTATGTTGTTCAGTGACATTTAAACAAACTGGGGAAGAAGAAGAAGAAGCCGTTAGTTTGGTATTTAATATGGCAGAAGACGATGTGATGGAACAGAGCACGGAACCAACCGAAGGAAATGAAAGTCCTGATGACAAAGAGGACGAGCACGGTGATATGGATGATGACGGTAAAATATTCATTAATCATTCTGCGTTAAGGAATAAATTTAGGGTATGTTAATGACCTGTGGCATAACTAGACACTTGGACTTTTGCTTACCAAGGTCATGGAATTTGAAGAGTACAGTCTGTTTTAATACGATATCATGTATGGAAAAAATTTAACGGCTGGGTCTCCACCTTCAGAGTCGATGGAGCGTGTGTACATTCATGTACAATTTACTATTAGGCCCAGAAGATGGAGAAAGTACGTTCTGGCAGACGAGACGGTAGACTTGCCTGGACCTTTTTTTTTATATACATTAATTTTTTAAAATAAAAGAAAGAAGTGATAAACTTGCACTAGACTACATGGCGTCACATTCCAGAATATAATAGTATTTACAGTCACTACCATGAGAACCAGAAATTCTGCATGATCTTACCTAACTGTTTCTGGGAAAGTTGTGCTCAGATTTATATTCAGCGTGGAGTGATAACTCTTTCTGCTTTTTTTTTTCTGCCCAGATTTTGCTGTGTTAAATCTTCAACTCGATGAGTTAAGCTCAGCTCTTGATGCTTTGGAGCAGAAGAATGACCATATCCATGCCCAGTTGATGAAGCTACTGGAATCAAACCGTGAAACAAGACAGCTGTTTCAGACAAACCTTACTGATGAACAAAAGTCAGATCCACAAATTTAGGTTTACATAAGAAGAAATTTAGAAACCACCTGTGGAATGTCGATGTATGGAGAGAGAACCACTTGTTGAATTGTTCCGTAATATTTATTATAGTGGCACAGTATACACAGACGAACTTGAAGAATTAAAGACTAATAGTATAGTACCAACAATATTACTGCTTGCAACACTCACTCTTAACAGTCAAGTCCAAGTCACATTGCGACTGATGGTCCATCAAAGTCAAAGTCACATTGCGACTGACGGTAAGTCAGTCAGTAAGTCTTGGCGTCGAGCCCCAGATCAGATAATAATTATTACCGTTTGACAGTTACGGGCTTGTTTCTGTGGGGTGCCCTCTCTGACGAGAAGACGGGTCTGTCTTTTGCGTACGCTGCTGGCCCTTGCCAGCGCATTCTTTCTCGGGTCCAAGTCCCTTGGGACTCGCGACCATATTTTACTGTTTCAGATTTGAGACTTCCCTTTTCGTCGCCTCCTATGACTCGCAGGTGGATGTATTCGAAACCGCCTCCACACGGGTGGGGACTCTGATGGTCCATCAGTCAGTATCTCTTTAATATCTCCTCTTGTGTCAGACCGCATAGAAAACACATCACTGTCTGTATTGTTGCAGGCTATGTGTTGTCACTGTAATATTTGCTTGAATGTGTGTAGTTCCCACACATAAAAACGTGTCTCATTTCTAAGTTAATATTGGAATGTGGAATTTTAAAAATTTATGTTTGGGGGAAAATATTTCAGTATTTTTAACATGACAGCTCACATATTTTCCAAATATAAATGGCTAGATTTCCAAAGTAGCATGCTTAAAGTCATAATTGATATTATGAGCTGTCAGCTTAAGCAAAAGACTTAAGGAACCAGGTTTTCAAGAATATGATTTTGTTCTTGTGACATCTTAAATGTTTTTAGGAGTTATATTTTCTTTGTGCTTTGGAAGTAATAAAATTGTTTTTGTATATCAAATTAAAAATATGAATTTGATGAATTAAGAGTCATATGGAGAATATTAAATAATAGAAACTTCATTATAACAGCTTATGACACTTGCTTTTAGCAGGGCATTCACATATAATACTGAAATGTGAAACATAGAATTGTAGTTAATTTGCATATATAAAATAATGAACAGAATTAATATTGCCTAGCATTTATGTAATGAACAATACAGTTTAAATTTTTAACTTGCATTCCATATTATGAATGGTAAGGTAAAGTTGTCCATGTGCTTAATTAAGCATTATACCATGAAGATGGGGTGGTGGAGGCATAACTCCACCATTCTTGACCTCAGCACCAGATGGAAGCTTAATGCCCCAGCCACTTTACCATCAGGGAAATCAATCCTGGTACCCGTTGGTCTGGACACTGGAGAAAAATCTTGCCCTGCTGGGAACCAAACCCAGGCTGTCCAGCCTGTTGCTATACCAGCTGCTCCATATTCTGGGTGACCTTGTACCTACTGTAAAAATGGGTCTGCTGTTAAATACAACAATTGTGTATATAACAAAATACTTGTAAATAATAAAGATAATTATTATATATACATTAATTTTTTTAACAGAACATTATGTACTGAAATGAAACGACCCAATACACCATTTCATTGTCAGTGTCAAAGTGAGACTTGGGAGACAGCCCTGTGGTGGTCCTTCATTGTGCTGTAAGAATTTGTGTATGGCAGCCTGACTAATTTGCTGATTTCAAGGGGCTTGAAACTGTGGAATAATAGTTATCTTTAGTGCACACTAAGTAATTATATATTTTACCTATGAATCTGGTATTCTGTAAGCTAAGTACTGCAATAAACAGATAATATTGGGAGATGTGCACTGACATCTGACCTTTATGATACAAATAGAGAAAATAAGTGGGTACACTCTCAAACCTTAGAGATTACTCCTAAATGGAAATTGTGATATATTAATAAATTTCCTTAGGTCCTGCATCTAATCAGTAAACTGAATTTACTCATCATACGAGTGAATTGTATAGGACATATAATATATTCTAGTTAAAGTTGCATAAACTGACCAACAGGTTGTATGATAATGAATTCAGTGTGTCTTTACATCACATGCAAATTGTCATCTCAGGCTAGGAAACCCTAAAAATTTGAGAATGAAAAAGTATATATTCTCATCTTCCCATACCTTCCTACCTACCACTTGACACTACAGCCATGGGTGAGCCTTGGCCTCTACAACCAATGTATGCTGCCATAAGAATGGATTTCATCTTCCCCTGCCTGCTACATATTCTTCCCATCTCAGCCTTCTTAATATGATCACCACAATAATATGAGCATTTGGGGAAAAGTGAACATTATTAGTGTTTTCATAGTATGAACCCAGAAGTCCCATATAAAAAAAAAGATTTTTAAACTAGCAGGAATTCATCACATTAGTCACCAAAAATTATGGTATTTGACAGCATCATGCAAGGTAAACAGTGCTGGAACATATAACCCACCTCAAGGACACTATTAGAAGGACTGCTGTAGGTGTAGCAGCACAAAAAACCTGCATCAAATGGTTTCATGGTCCATCCATTATGCAGTAGTATTATTTTCTTTTCCTAAATATATTTCCCTTTACAAAGATTTTATCAAGTCCTTTAACTTCATAAGGGGGGGGGGTTTACAAGTAGTATGTTCGAACCTGTTAGCAACAGAATTTAAAAAATAAAAATGCTGATAGGTAATACACAAAATAGGCATCATTAAGATGTATAATTTTTTTCAAACACATCTATGTATAATGTGTAATTTATAATACGCAAGAGAAAAATAATGATCAGTCTATTTCTGATTTTAAGATTTCAAGTTTTTATGGCAGCAGCCCTCTGGGCTATGACACCATGTAGTACACTAGTACCTGTGTTTCAGAGGAACATAATCCTCCATCTTCAGATGTATAATAATGCCATTACCAGAAGATGTTAACATTATTCCTGTATTACCTTTATATGTTGCTCCATTCCTAATACTCCAGTACTGCTGTAACAGTATAACACAAAGTGCAGTAATTGAAATGTAAAAAATTTTTAAAATATACATTCCTGGTGATTTGGATCTGGAAGGCATACTGAAATACATGAAAAAATAATGTATTCCGCTATTTCTGATTAGCTTTGTCAACAAGAGATCTGTAAATGCAATAAAAGTAACTTGTATGAAAATGTAGGTTCATAAAAATGAGTTTGGAAACTTTGTGTACTCTGATACAAAGTACACCTTTCCACTTATTCTACATTAATGATGTTCACTGTTTTGTGACAGTTGATATTCTACACAAGGTCTTTTTTCACTGGGTACACATATTGACAAACATGGGTTTAGAAAAAGTGTTGGTTCTACACAGTACATAACTTAATATTTTGATTTACAAGATTTATCCCTTAAAGGCACATGTACCACAGACCCTGATATTAAAAAAAATATGCCATATGCTTAGATGGTGTATTTAAAAGTATTTTATAATTCTCAGAATAAATGACTACATCCCTACACAATAAAATTTTGTGAGGTTTGATGTTCTTACAACAATGTGTTAAGATTACAGTCTTCTAAGACATGATGCAGTTTTGTTTAATAGGTATATACTATCATTCTGAAGGAATATGGTGCCTTCATTTTCACAAAAGAAAATGGAGGCAGTAGCTTCCATCAAAATGTTGGTACCTATCTACTGAACTATGTGGCATCACCTCAGAAGACTATAATTCCACTATTAACGCATCTTTTTTGTGAGGTAAGAGGTAATGTCTCTGTGCTTAACACTTCGTGGACTGGCGATTTAAATATTTAAATCACCCTGGGGACTGGCATTTTTAAAAATACTACCCTAACTTGTGCACTGTTCAATTTAAAAATTAATATAAAATCTCCTAATTAATTTTTTGAACTAAAATTTTTGGAGAACACTTACCAATGCTCCTAGAAGTGCTTGAGGGTGTGATATTTCTGGAAACATTCCCCTTTGTGAAGTGGCATTACGCAGAACTTGCAAATGTAGACATAGTCCTTTTTTTGTGAACTGTGCAAACATGGCATTGCCTAGAAGGATTCTTCCTCTTGGAATGTTCACTCTTCACAATTTTCACGAGAGTATTTTTCGGCATATCACCTGAGAGTCGCCCTGGGGGGTCCACATGAGGCCTTCGTGGGGTGGGAGCTGAATGGCCCAGTCGTACTAAGCCTTTGTGTAACCCTGGTTCTGCCGCCACCATCTGGACTGTAGCCCAGGCCTTTGCCTCATTCATCAGAAATGCTTTGTATTTCAATTTTGAATCAGGGTTTAAATTTTTTTTAGAGTTTTTGCTGTCCCTGCAATGTTATTACCCGCATTATCGTCGGAGCTACTGTCACTTTTACTGTCCGTGGCCACAATTCTTTGTTGTCCCCCCGTCACTGTCACTGTCTGAATGACAATTAATCCATTGCTATGCTTCTCACAAGGCAGGCCAGCTAGGTTATCAGAGGAGAATTTGTCCTTGATCCATTCTCCCCACTAGCCACTGGCTGATACACACAGCTTGAAGAAGGCAAAACATTTTCCTTTACAGTTGGTTAAGTAAAAAGTGAGGTCAGGTTACTGACTGCTAACTAAACATTCCAGAGTCTTATCACGCATCTGCAGGCGGTTGCGTGCAATGTAGGTGCGCCAAAGCGATGTATAGTGTGTTGCAATTTACCGTGTTTTAAAAACCTATTAACACGCGAATGGTCTGCCATGTTTAAAAGCGAAAAACCTTTTAAAGGGTGCGCAGTCCGCAAAGTGTTAATTAAGCATTATACCATGAAGGCATATGGGGGAATGGATGTAAGTATCCACAGATTCTTGACCTCAGCACTAGTTTCAGGTGATTAAAATGATTTTTTAATTATTATTATTATTTAGATTAAACTAATTATTCAAAGGGTTAATGAACAATTATTAATCACTGATCTGAACACTTACTTAAAATATAAGTTCTTGGATCAGTCTGTGACTGAAAAATAAGAAACTTTCCACTCAGAGGAAAACAAAATTTAATTATGCAAATGAGAAAATGCTACCCTGAAACATCAAGAAACAAAGACGTTGATAGAATGTGAACACCAGGTATTTTAGTTCATACTGGCAGTAATATGATTGTATCTAGGCATTATAACAAGAAAATACGTAAGAAATATTTTATTTATTTGTAGACAAGGTCAGTTCGGTGATACTGTAACCTTTACTCAGAGGAAAGTGACACAAATCCTTTTGATAGGAAGCTGCGTAGAAATAATTTGAAAACATCCCGATATTTTTGCTAGGGGCCAAATTCCAACCATTCTGCCTACAGCCAGTTTCTATACCCAAATAAGCTACCAACACTTTCTTTGTCAATCTCTGGTGTTCTCCAAGAATATCATAGCATATCCTGATTGAACCTGTTCACACACAATATCTGGCTGTCTCTTTCAATCCATGAAGATCCCTGTGTAATGGGAGCCACACAATTGTCAAATAAACCTTAAATGCAATTAATTTGAGAGATAAGTTCAGTCTATGATAGGGGCAAAAGAGTGAACAACTTGTAGGAACATTTTTCTTATTCTATGATGACTACTGCAATGTATTTATGGGCTTCATATGACTGTCATTAACAGGGCCCATATTTTGTGACCTAAAAATATTGTAAAAATTACCAAAAAATCCAGAAAAATTATCTAAAAGTTAAAAAACGACCTAAAAAATGTACTGTGTCATGGAAAATCTAATTGTTTTAAAATCAATTTTTAATCTTTATTAACACTGTGAACTCAACATTACTCTTTTAACTTTGCCCTCATTTTTATGTTGAAAATTAAGCAATATATGGCTGAATTTGAAGCTGAATGTTTTAATATGATTTTTTCTACCGCACTGGAACTCTCAAACATACAGATACAGCATATATTCCAATATTTACGTGCCACCTCATTCAGGGTTGCAATTGATGACAGTCAACATGTGGAGATTCTCAAAGATGAGTGAATGCCTATTGTCTGACAGCACATTCTTGTACTTGGAGAAACTCCTTTCTACATCTGCAGACACAATGGGAGCGCACTTGAAGTGTACCAAATCACTAGCAGTAAGTTCCTCTTCAATACTGAATGTGCTGAAGGACTCTCCTGTCAGAATTTGGGAAATGCTGCGTAATGTTTCACAACCTGAGTTTTTATCTAGAACATTTTCATTTTTCTTGACACCATTTTACCAGTGTCCCCTGACACTTTCTCCAAAACACTATTCTTTTCACCAGAGCAAGCAAATCTTCTAGTGTTGCTCCTTTCTCCTGTAAGCATTTGATTCCTTCCGTCAAGGAACTGAAATTTGCCTCTGTGAAGGTCAGCTGTCCTTCCATTTCACTGCACAAGAACTGTTCCTGAGCAACTTCAATTGCCCTCGCATCTTCCATCTTCATTGAATCTATAATGTTTTTCACTACCTGAATATGATCGCAATAGTAAAGTATAGCATCAATCCACGTTCCCCGCCTTGTGATGATGGGTTCCAGGGGCAGTGGAACACCAGAAGCCATAGACTTAAATTGCATTTTACAAGCTGGAGCCTTGACAAAAATCTTCTTCATCCACGACATGAGAGCATCCACTTGAGGAAATTTTGATCTCACTTTCTCCATCACTCTATGCAATGCATGAGCTAGGCAAGTAACGTGCACCAATTTCGTATAAAACGACTTTACTGACTTGCCTGCTTTTACAATATATGGGGCCGCATTGCTCACAAAAAGCAAGATGACTTCTGGCCACAGTAGAAACATCGACCTGTCAAAGAGTTTACAAATTTTGGAATGATTAACAGATTCTAGCACCTCACTGATAAGCAGAAGCACATCACCAGGTCCCTCAATTTCCAAGGTTCCAATGATGACGTTTGCCACGTAGCGAGCCTCCGTATTGCAGGTCTCATCAATAGAAACGAAAATCTTCTTCCCATGCACTTTATTCCTAACCATTTCCAGGATACTGTTATAGCACTGGGAAAGGTAGTGTTTCCTGAGGGTGGATTCATCCGGGATAGAACGACCACAATTCACTTCCAGAAAATTTTTCAGAGCCCAAAACAGAATATTTGCAGACACCAGAGCATCACACAGATCTGTGAAAAAATCCGATGACTTATTTCCGCCTTCAGATGAACACTGTTGCAGTAACATTTGCACTGCTCGTATATGCTTGTTGTGGCCGATATGTTGTACCATGAAACATTTTTGTGCTGCTAATTTTGAGTCACATCTTACAGCATAAAATGTTACTGTCAGTTAAAAATATATCATCTACAAATTCAGCAACAATCTGCTTTAAATTACACGATTTAGATGGCTTTGCTTTGGGCATCGTGACAAAATGAATCACTCTACTGCAACACAGAACTGAACTTTTCACACTGAGAACCTTTCGTCAACCGTGTCTTTGTCTGTATGTTCAAAGGCGAGAAACTGAAGACAGACGGAGTTTTATTGAGCAACAATATGTCATAACAACTGACTAGAAATATGTGTAACTAAGAGAAAGAACACTTTACTTGCATATTATTCACATTTCTGAAAACATGAAGAAAAATTCCTAAAATATCAAAAAATACCCTTAAAAGTAAAGAAATGACCTAAAACTTAAAAATGATGAAAAATTACAAAAATGGCCCATGAAAGTTACATTTCTGTAACCAGCAGCTCATATCTGGGATTTATATATTTATGGGCATTGAATAGGATACATGGAAAAAAGATGACATTGTCGTCAAAATCCAGGCCTGGTCATTAACATATATATTATTCATATTACCCTCTGTACCGCAGAAACTAGTAATGATAATGGATACATGTAAACACAAATGTTAATTTTGTTCTTATTCACAGAAGTTCAAATCTGGGTCAATTTCTTTGCCCCATAAAAAACTCTGGGACAGTGATGACAATAAATACATTTCCATACTAGCCATGGCAATAAAACATGTTTTGAAGGTCACAAGAATGATGTGTCTGAGTCCAAGAGATGTCACACATGAATAACCACCACAAACAACCGAAACTTAATGTAAGGATTTAAATATCAGTGATACTAGTACAAACCAGGAGTAGGGTGTATCAAATAACAGAATGAACATATTTTAATTTCAGTGCAATGCTGTTAATGGTATTTTCATTATAACATCATATAAAATTCAAGCACCAATAAATTCATCAACTACCATACTCCAAGGAGTAATGCCCTTCTTGACTAACAGATCAAGAAATTCCCTGCCTTTTAAAGGACCCAAAGTTTCATCACCATTTCAGAAGAGCTCACCATCGGCCCCTGTCATGAGGCAGAAGACTCTAATCCATACTATTATTTCCTGTCTCTCTCAGATCCATTTTAATATTAGCTTATTGTTTATGCCTGTCTCTCCCAAGCAGGTTCTTTGACTAGAATTGTATACACTTTTCTCATCTCTAGGTATTTAAAAATATAATTATAATGTATAAATGTATATAATGTATAACTGTCCCTTGCATACAGAAGTGATCAGAAGGACCGTAATGTTTCCTGACAAGAATTGGCTGTCTGAGCACTCAAACCTTATGTGTAAGTGACCTTCCACTTTTCACAACCTAATTATGCAAAAGTTCTTTATATGTGAACCCTAATTATGCAAAAGTTCTTTATATGTGAACCCCATGCAGCATATTCCTTTCTGAGAACCTAACAGCTGTTCATATTTTCAGTAAAATCCTTACATTTTCTAAACATGAAATTCTCTATAATGTTCACAAAAGCCCACCACTATCCTCAGTCAGATGAATTCAGTCCACCCTATTTCTTATTTATTTTTATACATAAAGAGAAACATGCTCAATGAAGAAAGTGATGCATTTTCTTCTTTTATATTTTACTTCTCTCATGCTCCAAGTGAGCATGTTCAGCTGCCCAAAGCAATATTTTCTTCAATGCTGAAGTGTCCACTTTTTCAATGATATGCACATTTGGCTTCTTAACCTGCAAATGATCAAGTACAACCTGACCTCTGGTGTGTGTTCCATGAAGTTCAACTGTTGCATGACACTTCTGACTCTTTATTACAATCTCTGGATAAAGCACCGCAGCAGCAAGTATGGCATCACAAGAAATCCAAGTCGTATAACTTGATTTTTCCCACACTTTCTTCTCCACTGCATTTAACAGCTCCATGTGAGAGTTCTGGATGGCTCCCAGTATACTGAACCTCCATTCCTGGTACAGCATTATTACAAACCCCATCAGAATATGACATAAGAACAAGAGGACAAAGAAGCAGCATTTATATTTCACTGAGCAGTTAACCTTTATCATCTGGGAGTTTTAAATCTCTGAGTACCACAGGGCTTGCGGCTCAGGGCAACAGTATTAGCATTGAAAAAATGCAACACAGTCTGCTGGACCACACATATATGCTGTTACAGTATTGTAATGCATGACCAGTGAAGGTAAATATGGATTATATATTTCATTTCTGGATACTAACATATGACATATGAACAATACAACACTTAACAGAAATTGTATTTGAATTTACAGAGCATTGCCCTTGATAAACTAAATCTCAGCTAGCAAAGATATCTGCTGACTTTTATGGATTAGGCTTGTTTAGACAGGTTTCACTGTATACACAAAAATGACACACTTACCATAGAAATATCAACAGTGAGGCATGTTTCCCATGGCAACAAGTATATAGGACAACATGCACTTGTAAGAACAATATGAGCTGCTTCTGGATCGCTGTAGAAGTTGAACTCTCCTGAAGACGTGATGTTACCCACTCCTAAAATATAGATATATAATACTTAAGGAAAGACAGATGCCTTTTGTGTTTGAGTTTTGTGCTACTGCCACTAGTTGGATATCCAGGAGACAGCATGAGGGAGTGGCAGGCAGACAAACAGACTTTGACCCCTGTTAATTTTATCAGCTGGAACTATTAACCTAGCACTGAAACTCCACCACATAAAAAATATTTTTCATGCAGAATTGATTTATGAACAGATTTGTCATCAACACTGGCCAAGAAAAACAAGAGTGGAAACACATGCTCCTATGTGTACACAAATTATCCAAATGTACTCTGTGTCATATTGAAAAAAGTTTCAAATAAAAGTTGTACTCCTCATAGTCACCACTGTTAGAACCTTACAAGGGTTTGTAATTGAAAAACATACCAAAATTAAATGTGCTAAATGCCTTTCAGTGCTGACCACGGTAGCTGAGCGGTCTAAGGCATGCACTGTCTTCACTCGCTTGGAAGCTGGGATCGTGGATTCGAATCCCACTGAGGGCATGAATGTTTGTGTGCGTTTTCCTGTGTTTGTGTACAGGTAGAGGCCTTGCGACGAGCTGATCACCCGCCCTAGGAGTCCTACCATATGTCTAAGATCTAGAAAAACCGAAGTGAATGGATAAGTTCGTGGAGGTAGGCCTAGACCCACTGGAGCTGTAGTGCCAAGGAAAAAAAATGCCTCTCAGTATAGATCTAATGACACAAATTTAACTGAAATCTGTCATATTGACTCACCAATCAGAAAAAAATATGGTTCTCTTCACATTCTGTAGTACTTACCATTAGAATGATATGGTGCTTTCCTTTTTAGATCTCAGCATGCAACAGTGAACAGAGGAATTACTATGTGAACATAAGCATACCTTGGCAAAACCATACTGAATGCAATTACAAATTGAACATGATGCCATCAGCTATATGACGGTATTCATGGGATGTGGAATGTGGGTAATAATGAGCTGCCTTACACTACATTATATACATAAAATATGAACTATAACTGCTTACAATCAAACTGCTCAGTCAAATAATACTGACATAAATGTGACTTTCTACTTCCCTTCCTTTGAAAGCTCCCTCGTATTATGTGCCACCAATGGTATTCATAAACAGTTATCTCATACGTACTATGTAATAACCTATTTTAAACACACCAGTTGCACAGTATGGATCCATATTAGGACAATTAACTTTAATAACTTGGGTTATAGGTCATATACCAACCGAGTGACTGCCACTTTTCGGCGAAGTTAGTGCCAACTTTGGCAGATTGAGGGTGTCATGTGGTCAGCGCAACAGATCCCCACAGCCGTTAATCTCTACCTCGCTTGCGGACTACAGGCCACGGAGATAGTTTTTTTTTGTTTGTTTTGTATAGATCATATAAGATGCCTGATGATGACCTAAATCATAGGTCAAAACATGAAGCAAGAAATCTCTGCTTATATTAAATAGGTAAGACACATATCAACATCTGTTTTTCTCCTCACCTGAAGATATTCTGCTTTACTGTTGTGTTGATGGACATGATCATAAGATATTGTTTATTTTCGTTATTCTTTTACATTTACATTACATTGCAATCCATAGCTCCAAAGTTATTCAAATGACTGTAGGGTGTGGAACATGTCATACAAATACAAAGAACATCTAAAAACAGCAATATCAACAATGGGTACACATGAGGTTATTCAGAGGTCATACACTCACATACATCACACTGTTAACTCATGCTATTTATAAAATCTTTAATTCTCACATTGTCAACTCATGCTATTTACACAACCAAGTGTTCTTCAGTTAGTGAAGTGGGCTTGGATGGTGTAGAACAGAAATGAACCTCCTTGGAAAGTAGCCACTTAGAAGACCAACAAGTTAGGAAATGTATATATACTGTAAAAATTCTGGTGCATTTGCTATGGTATTGCCTCAAGATTTTCAACTTGTGAATGACAAATTCTGGTACTGTCTTGTACATAGCATAAAACCAATGGCTGCAAGCAAAAACACTGATAGATACATCTAAATGTGTCTTTCAGCTTTTTACAAATAAATAATTCAGGGCAGAATTCATGCAAACTATAAATAAATAAGCAACTTCAGTAATCTTTGTGTGTGTGTGTGTGTGTGTTCAGAAAACTATAATTATCTTCTCAATGTCAACAACTTTTATTCAAAATATTTTTCACTTTGATATATATGAGTATTTAGTGAGTTATGCTTAAAATGCAGTCAGAAATGCATGTAGGTCTTCATGTAAATGGGTCATTAAGTCTATCTGTCTAAATGGAAACTGAAACGATGATATTCTTTCATAGGATCCTCAAATATTGGATTTAATAAAAGTTGGTCTATCCATCTCAAGTTATTCAAAATGGGTGCCCTGATTTTGTTAGACTCCCTGAAGGGATGTGTATGAACCTAAAATGGAGATGAGTGGACAACATTAACCTTTAAACGCCGGATTTCTGAAATGGTGGTAAGCTTGAGCTGGCCGGAGTTTATTTAAATGCCCACTGCTGGTGCGCATTTAAATGCCCGTTGCTACTCTGCGTTTAAATGTTAGGGCGCTTAAATAATTTTAAGCATTGTGTTTAAAAATGCTGTATCTAACTCAATTTTTATGATAAATGGATAGAATTAACTTTGTTTTTATCAGCAAAGAACATAGTGTCGCATATTATAACAGAAGATTTGAAAATTTTTATACAAAGAGTTATACTCTATTTTCAATTTTTTTCTTTTAATTTTGATGCGTACTGCAAAAATGGTTTCCCAGTTCTTCACAGAGTTGTTCTGCATTATAAATTCATTTCTGTTTGTAACACTTGACAAATTTTAGCAGTAACTGGTGTCATAAAACAGATGGAAGCAATAAAATCATTTGGTCTTCTGCTAGCACTGCTTACACTCTTTGGATTTTCAAATCTTTTGACTAAAGGACAGAAGAATGAAAGAATTGCTATTCAAGAGAAAGATAGAGGGGTCCTTTCTTCATTGCTAAGACCTTCCGTTATAGCTGCAAGAGATTATTGCCCTTTCTAGGGTCGTGAACAGACAGTTGCATCGTGGCTGAATTACAGAGTGTGATCTGTTTTCTGTGCATTCATAGTGAAATCAAATTCTGTAATTTCATTTCAGTCTATATATACATCAAGCAGATAACAACAAAAAACGTATGTACTTCGAATTTTACTATATATTTTTAACACATTAACCTTTAAGTGCCGAAGTGCCCAGTTTGTGCCAGTCATGAGTAAGGTCGTCGTGGCCAAAGTACCCAGTTGTGGCCAGTCAGGCATTTAAACTCCGCTAGTGGAAGCGCGCGCACACGCCGCTAGTAGAAGCGCATGCACAGTCCTGAATATTTATTTTTAAATGTAGTAATTACCAGACCGACTTAAGTAAAACCCTAATAGAGGAATTAAAATAATACCTTACTGAACAACAGCAAATAAAAATATACGTATGAGTTATGCCAAAACTTATCCACAATCCAGTAATTTTGTTGCAGATTCTGCAGATAGGTATGTTAAAAATATAGTGTAAAATTCGATGTACATANGGGTACTTTGGCCGTGACGACCATACTCATCACTGGCCCGAATGGGACACTTTGTCACTTAAAGGTTAAAATGCATTTTAGGGGTATAAGTTGTGAGAACAGGAAAGAGATGTAACAAAATCAAGGTCATGTTCAACAGCAGGCTTTAGTTATCAGTGGTGTTAAACTTTTGGTTTTTACTACAAGAAGTTAGTTCACAGAACTACTAATTTCACCAGCATCTCCCGTCTGAAACAGGTGACTTCATTCATCTTACCTGTTGAGTTTCCTCCCATCACATATATATCCTTGAGGTTGCTGGAAAAATCTGCGTATGTCTTCATGGTCAGTGCAATATTTGTAAGTGGTGCCAGACATACCAGTCTCACCTTCCCTGGATAAATGTCAATGCAACATTTGTCCATCAGAAATTACTTGCATTCTAATGGATATGCAGTTAAATTACTTCTAAAATTTTGTATAACCATACTCCTTTTATGTGAATAAAATACACGTAGTATAAAATGGTACCTCCACTCCATGTACAAAGTAATGAAAGTGCAATCTCTTGCAAAAGGAAAGGGATGATACTCTGATCCCAGCCCTACTAAGGCACCTTAAGTACCAGTTTTACAATAATGAGCAAGAAACAGCAACATATTTTTTCCCAGTTACCTTTGCAGTCTGGTCCGGATACAATACGATTAAGTGCAGGGACTGCATTCTCTGACTGAATCAGCTTCATACTTGGAGTGTGTGAAAATTCCACATCACCAAATCCATCCAAACCATGGAAATTTTCAAACTTTTCTGCATTCTTGTCATTGCAAACAATCAGAGGCCCTTCAGCACCTCGGTAAACAGGAATCTGTGCAGACAATCAAAATTTATAATAAGAGACACACTGTTATTGGACATTATTGATGATAACATAATTACACTGGAGATAACTGAACTCAGATTTTCCCTCAGTTATGAGTCGGAAATACGTGTCCTCCAGAACATCTCAAAAGCAGAGAACACACTAATAAATCAATGTTACACAGGGATTTCCATTGATAATAGGAACTGAATGCATACTGAATCCCTTGGAATGCTATTATGATTAACATTCTTGACTTATAGTTTCAGCAGGATCAGAAACTATGTCATCGATATTCACATACAGAAATGATTTACAAAAGCCTAAATTTAGCATCTACATAATGCTGAAGATCTTCACACAGAATTACTGGGTTTTGGGACTTTTTCCATCATCCGGAATTCTAGGTAATAGAGGACAAGATGTTTTGGAAACTGGATCTGTTTCCGTCTTCAGGTGAGAAAGGCAGAAACCTACTCAGTTGGGCCCCTTAGAAAGAGCTAATCTCAATCACTTGACCTTAGCTCTTTCTAAGGGACCCAACTGAGTAGGTGTCTTCCTTTCTCACCTGAAGATGGAAACAGATTCAGTTTCCAAAACATCATGTCCTCTTATTACCTAGAATTCTGGACGATGGAAAAAGTCCAAAAACCCGGTAATTCTGTGTGTCATCCACCACTGTCAGAACCCTTTAGAATCTAGCTGAAGATCTTTGGAACCATCAAATGTTACTGACCTAAGGCATGTTATGCATCAAGTATACGAAGAATACACTCAAGTTGAACATCTCTTTTATGGTTTATTTAGTGATGCTGCCAAGTACCTCAGATTATACAGCATCAAATGACAGGATGATTAGTGAATAAGGGATTGGAAAGGACATGGAAGGATATGTGCTATTCTGATATAAAACCTCTGATATTTTATACCCACAGTATGAATATTAACCAAGAAACAGACAGAATGACTAACCAAATAAATGACAAAGTAACGAATTCCATAAGCAATTCACAGCTACTCAGTTGCTGAAAAAAGCTACCTGCTTTTATGGAACCCCAAAATTAATCATCACATTCACAAAAGACCACCATTTGGGCTCCATCTGGTGCCACTTGAATATATTTTGTATTTTCACAACCTATACTTCTAAATTCACTTTAATATTATCCTCCTACCCATGTCTCTGGCTCCCAAATGATCTCTTATATTGATTCTTTTAACTAAACTTTTTAATGAATTTGCCAGATATCGCATCATTCTTAATTATAACAATATATGGTAAGGAGTACAAATTCTCAGGTACCTCAATATGTAATTTTCTCTGTTCCCTTCTTTCTTCCCCTGTCCTGGGCATAAATATTATCATCAGAACTTTGACATCATCACTTTTAATTTCTGTTCTTCTATAAGAATGATAGATCAACTTTCATCCACATATATAACAACATTTTATCAACTTACATCTGATCTACCAACTGCCTCCAATAAGCGCAGGACATTGATACAAACATTGTTGACATGTGTATTGCCATGAGAGCATGTAATGCCCAAGATTTCTATGTCTTTTTGAACATCTGCCGAGAGAAGCAGCAAAAGAGCCATGGCATCATCTACTCCAGCATCAACATCCACTATCAGTTTCACTGGTGAATCATTTTTCATGTTCGTTGCTGAGAAACTAGCAGAAAAGGATAACAAATTAAGATAACAAGATACAAAAAAAAATCCGTGGTTTTATTCTGCAAGCGAACTAGTTGGCACTAACTTCACCAACAATCAGCGGTTGCTTGGTCACTAAATAACAACATAAGGGGATAAAATAAAACATAACTTCAGAAATGTCCGAAGCATCATACACAGAAACAACTAACTTAACAGATAATAATTTTGTGTATCATTATAACTGTGTGATGTGTGATAATTGGCTAAATATATTTTGGAGAGAAATATAATATATTTTATATCCAATACACTTCTCCCATATATTTAATGTTAAGGTAAATTTGTCTCTGTGCTTAGCTAATTAAGCAATATGCCATGAAGATGTATGGGGAAGTGGATGTATAGATCCACGTTTTCTTGACCTTGGCACTAGTTGGAGGTGAGTGGTCAGCTTCATGCCCTGGCTGCTTTATCCCCGGGGAAAGAGCCCCTGGTACCCATTGGATAGGAGGCTGCACAACGTGGAGAATATAAAATTCTTGACCCTACTGAGACCTGAACTCCAGCCCCTCGGCCATCCAGCCCATAGCCAGTCACTATATTGACTGCGCTAACCCAGCTCCATACAGTTCACGATATAATTAAGCAAATTAGGCATTATGTGCATATTTCAGAATTTCCATGTTTTTCAATTATTTGTGTGTCTTTTCCTCTTCAGTGGGATGGTTAACAGGGAGTACACTGCAGAAAAACTCTAGTTTAAGACTGATGTCTTCAGAAATGTTATGCCATGCAGTTTAGTAGATGGGTAACATACTGACATAAGAACCTCAAACCATGACAGTTATAGTTATCAAAGACCTCTTGGCACCAACCTGCCTACTTGACTTACCCTGTCATCCCACAATACCTGCCTGCCTCATTCTGGCATTTGAAAAGTGAATTAATTTCTGGAACACCATCATTCATATTTCACTTACATGACTGCTTGGTCCTATTAATGCAGCAATTCTCAACCTTCTACAACTTGCATCTCATTGGTCATTTTGTCAAAAAGCCATAGTTCCAAAATTGTAAATGCAAAATTTCTTCTGTTTTCAGCAAGTGTACTTTTACAAATAAACATGTTCTAGTGTCATATTAACCATTAACGGAAGCAATTATTTCCAGATCTCACATGCCACTTGGCTGATTGTTAAGTCCCACCAGCTGAGATACACTGTACTAATTCAGTAGAGCTATCCCTGTAAGAGGCTGTGAAGCCCCATAGGGGTGTGAGAGGTTGAGGCTCCCACATCTTCTAGACAGTTGGCTCATAGATGGCGGTAAAGTTGTCAGTCTTACGTGCCAGCTACCCTTTTTACCCCTCAGGAAGATTCCTGGTACTCATTTCTGTTAGAGGCTCAGTCAACCCCAGGGCATAGTGCAGCTGGAAGGATTAGGTAAATTGAAAAAATTCACCTCATCGGGATTCTATCCGGCGACCTTCCGGCTTGTAGAATAGTGCCCCAACCAACTACACTACCGTGTGCCCCACTCCCTTGGGTATTCAAATATTTTAAGTTATGATATTTTCTTTAAAAATTTGGTTTTAATCATTTCCACACTCTACTCTTCTTTGACAGAAAGGTATAAATTTTATATAAACAAACAAAAATTCCGTGGCCTGTAGTCCACAAGTGAACTATACCAACCGAGCAACCACCACTTGTCGGTGAAGTTAGTGACAACTTTTCCGGATAGAGGGTGTCGCATGGTCAGTGCAATGGATCCCCACGGCCGTTAATCTAGGTTTTCTAGACCAGAGCCACTATTTCCTTGAAATAGCAACTCGATTATCCTCACGAGGCTGAGTGGATGCCGTTCCAGACCCATTACTTCTCAGAAAATATGGTAGTGCCAGAAATCGAACCCAGGATCTCTGGATCTGTAGGCAGGAACTCTGACCACTAGATCACAAAGCTGGTAGATACATTTTACAACCCTCTAAAATTAAGAGAAAAATGATTATACTGAGCACTTATTTATATACATGATTGCACCTATTTTCAATAATGTAAACTCCAAAAATATGTACATATACAGTTGGCAATAATTAAATTCAGGGGTGAAGAACTGAGACTTTGTGACAGAAATTGCAAAATAAGCAGCTGTAGGATAGCTTAAGGTGTGACTGATAATATATATGTGACAAGATGCCTGAAAGCAGGAATAGCGGAGCCAGTGTAGATGTTCATTGGTAGGCATCAAATAAGTAAACAGGTTCCCACAGAAATGAACATGCACGCAACAATAGAAGACCTACTGCTTTTATGCAACAGCAAGGTAAACATACCTCCATAACAATAGAGAGATTGTTAAGAAATGGTGCCCCAAGGCAACCGAAAGAGAATAAATGAGGGAGTCTCTTGAGCCGGCAGTCAAAGATGATGGTGAAGAGAAGTATAGTGTATCATATAGTGGTTTGTGAAGTGTAGTTACAAGTTGTGTAAGTGTGCACTAACTCAGTCATCAATCCAAAACCCATCTACGTGTATAAGTCACACATACTCCCAAATACATGACAATATGATCTACACTAAGTGCAAGCACACTATTTAAGCAAACACCCTCAGGTGCTATTCTTGCATAACAAACAACCTCTAAAATAGTGAAAGTCTGGAATAAACATACTAAATTGTAGCCATTCTTTAAGCAAACCTAATGTTTGCTCTGTTTGTTAAAAATTTCAGCTTCAGAACCTTCTGTTGGATTTTTATTAAATTCTCTGTTGCCAGTAACTTACCGAAGCTGTGTCATGTCCAATAACCATGAAGAATACCTGTGGATACTACACATTTGTGTCTTTCTGGTATTAAATTACAACATTTACAGAATATCAATTTAAGTTAAAATGGCCCTTCAATGCCCTCAAATCTAATGCTTTATACAAGTATAATTTGTATGTCTATGTCAGTCACTTCTGTTACCACATATCACATCTAGTCCCTGTCACTGCTGCCAGTGCTTAAAAAGAATTTAAGATGGATTTCAGGCCATACCAGCTAGCCGCTGGCTTCTCACAGTGGCAGCTTGGGTTCAATCCCAGGTCAGCTCATGTGGGATTTGTGGTGGACAAAGTGGCACTGGAGCAGGTTTTCTTCCAATTTTTTTATTACAGCTGCCAATTCCCATCTTGCCAAATGCTCTGTCCCTTCCATATGTCACCCAGGACTGGGTCAATGGAACATTTACAGTTTAAGTATCGCACAATATACAGAAAACTAAAGGATGCTAGATCAAAGTAAATCATACATAATACTGATTAAAATTATATGGTGACAGGTAACTTATATGCTGGCATGTGATGAGTCTGACATACATGGCATGATAAGCCATGGCATTTCAGGGATCCAGTAGGAAGATCTCTATAATGTGTTTGACAACTTAACACATATATCTATATTTAAACATAAATAAAACCAACAGAAAGACATTTTCAATCATTCCTTTGGCATCATTATGCCATGCAACATTTGTAAACCTCAGTATTCACAAAACCATACCTTTTCATTTCCCTGACCTCACAAAAATTTTGGTGTTTGATCATTCTGGTAGCACTCCTAAAACCACTTGTAACATTCGTTAAACCAGTTGTTTTACTAGATACTCCAGCCAACTTCATACATAATGCAATCCTGTCGATTAATTAGAAAACGTTAAAAACATACCAACTAGTACATTTTAACAGATCTGGCACTTGTTTGATCATCACACCTTATACACTCATGTACTTATTTTATCAGTATCTCTTCTTAAAAAGCACAACTGACACAAAATTAAATCAAAACTAATGTGCATTCAGCTTTAACGCGCAACTTCAAATACAGATCACAACATTGGTTTATATTACCTGAGCCTTCAACAGAAAGTACACATAGTACTGTCCAGATTTATAAACAAACGATGACATAATTCTATAAAACATACATAATATAAATATTGTAACACGACAGAAATTTGAATTAAAATGCTTAAGCAAAAACATCATATGATCTAAAACTAACAAGGTTATAAAACTTACAATTTTGAACGATATTTTGACATTTAAGACATCAGTAAACTATGTTGGACACCCTTGGTGCAAATGATAAGTCGAGACTCGTGAATCAGATAATGGGTACACTTAAATGTGGATAAACATTATTTCTTGAAACCTTGTTGGTTTCTATTATAAAAATATACCGTTACTTCATGTATTTTTACTTCCATTCAGTCAGAAATTTTTCACAGTTGATATTGTTTTGATTACGTTGGACCATCATGGCTACTATGTAAACACAACAAAGCTTGTTGTGATGGAAGCTGGATGGCTATATTAATTATAGGACGTATTGAAGAAAGCTTGTATTTCTTACAATAGTAATTTCCTGTGGCTGAACACAATGAGGTCAGTATAAATTGACGCATTAATCTGTATAAAATTACCTTTCTATGCTACCAAGCGGAATGTAGTTGGCGAACATGTAATAAATCAATATATTTTAAGCAATAACTGTGTTTGGCATTTTAATGTAAGGGTATTTATTTGGACACTTAAATGACACCCCAGTGCTACTGTAAGAATACCAAACATTGTGCAATAGACTGTACTTCAAGAATTTGTTTTCATTCATCTGCAAATGTTGCCAACCTATACTTAATACTGACAGGTCGATAGACGCTGTGCGTTTAGGTTATGAATACATGTTTCTGTCGAATCGCACAAATTTCGCAGTACTGTATTTTAGCATCATGCTGTGCGTAACAAATTTCAAGTATTTTGATGTGTTAGGTGATGTAGTATATCCAGATATTGGTATACACGACAGGCACCACCTCGGCAGAACGTAACTCAAGAAACTGCATAATGCACCACAAATCCTGGGATTTCACTAATAATACCTCCGGAAACATGTTCCAACCTCGCATGCCCTGCCGGAACAGTTAAAACCGTACCAACCAAACTGCCACACAATTTGATTGGGGTTGGATGTTAACTTTAGAGGACATTTGAAATGACAGTATGTTAATCTGAGAGGACTCTCAAGTAACAGTCTGCTTGTGACACTGAAATAAATTACAGATTCTTGCAAGTAAGATAATGTATTAAGTTTCTATGTTTTTGTTTCTAGGAAGTTCAATAAACTTTTAAATGTACATACATACATACATATTTATTTCGTTCCAGAGATCTACAATTGGCAGTGCTGCCTTGAGATATAGAACATGTCAATAAAAAGTACATTTAAAATGATAAATTGTTAAAAATTAAATATCCAAGACATTTAAAAAGGCCACATATAATTGTAGTACATTAACAGTTGTAGAACACAAACAAGTAACACATCAAACCAAATCACAGACACGACACCGAAACAAACAACGTCAAAAATCAGGTGCCATTCACAACAATTATAAACAAAACCAGACAGATAATATTATATTCTAGATGTGACAAAATAATAGGCGCAATCTTTATCTATAGGAAGCACAATCATTCCTTGATTTCCATTCATAATACTCATGTAAGGAATAAAAAGAACCCACCTGCAAAAATTTTTTTAGGGAATATTTGAATTTCTTAATGTCCTCTGACAAGCTTTTAATTCTACATGGCAAGTTGTTAAATATCCTAATCCCACTATAAAACACTCCCTTTTGCACTTTAGTCAGTTTACAGGTTGGATAATGTAAATCCAAACCCCGTCTAGTGTGCATGCCATGAATATCTGAATTTGTTACAAACTTGTCCATGCAGCCTTAAGCTGCCATTGTCAGAGTGGATTCATTGTTATGGGTGTATGGATTTACGTATGTTATTTCCATGTTCAAGAAGGAGCCCCTAAAAAAATTCCGGTACCTTAGTACACCCTAACATAGTAAGGTGTGTGCATCAGTACTAAGATATATGTTCAAAATTACATGGTATTCACACAATATATGAGTTGCATTATCAAGCAGTTTTGGATTAATGTTTTTCATATTATTTGTCTTCATTACTCACAGATATTAATCTGGCACTACTTTTTGATACCTGTGCAAGTGTGTTGTTTGGTTTGTTTTGTTTGTTCTTTCTTGGCAGCACATTTAAGAGATCTTTTTTCATGTGTACTGATAAACAACATTGCTGGGTGCTGTATACTTTTTCTCCCATCTGTATTCATGAAACAACTCTGCTTTTGCTGAGTGGATTGTAATCAATATATTGTTCACCCATATTAATATATATGACAATGATTTAGGGTAAGAGGTGAGTGGGAAGTGATAGGACTGAATCTGTCTCTCCTGTGTTAGGCCATGTTAGATTTTCTTGCAAGCTATAACTTTTAAAATTACAGTCTTCTGTGCTGTACTGTTATGTAATCTGATAAATGGGTACCATTGTTTTGGAGCTCTGCTGTCTCCGCCAGACTACAGAGCATCACATCCCAGAAGACTTTAATCTTAATATTCAACATCATGAGATTCACCAAATTCACCAATATTATCTCACAGGCCGCACCATAGCTTATGCGGTTAGTTGCTGGCTTCCCACCGCTGCGGTCTAGTCAAGTGGGATTTGTGATGGACAAAGTGGCGCTGGGGCAGGTCCCCCCCCCCGAGTACTTCAGTTTCCCCTGTCAATCCTCATTCCATCAAATTCTCCATAAACATTATCACCAGTACAGGTACAATAGGACATATGGAAGCCGACGTGCCAAGGGGACCTAATATGGATTCCGCCTCACACTATATGAAATCTTAACTAGTGTAATCTATTGTAAACAATTTTAAGTATTGTAACTTTATTCTCTTATTGTAATCAGCCAATGTACAGTAACTGACTTGTCCTATATCATGTAACAATGATCTATAGAGACGAAATAAATAAATAAATAAATTCTAAAATCTCATAAGCCATAATTTATTATTAAACATGTCTTATGCATATTCAGTTCACTGGACATCATATTCTTGTCAGTTTACTTTTGGAATTCACAGAATGAACTGATGCTTGAGATACCTACCTTCTGTGGATTAATGAAGAGAATAAAGTTATGTGATAACATTCTTTGAATTTAGATAAAGCAAGGAGGCCCTACAGAAAAATTTGAAATGATGAAAATTTGTTTGACAGATTGTTTATCTCAGTGTAGAGACTTTTGGATGGTATATTAATTTTTAGGGATGAATTTTAATAGAAAATGTTTGAGACAGCTTAGACAGATTTTGGAGGACAATATTAAGAAGAATTTTAAAGGAGTAGAAGATGTGAAGGAAAGTGGATGGAACTTTAAGAGTATTGTTTTGTGGGATGCAATGCCATCTAGTCTGATAGGAATTTTCAGGTATTTTGGAGAAACACTGCCTCCATCTTCATGGCCAAAGAATAAGCCAAGCAAGGAGTAAACATTACATACTTGCTTGGTTTACTCTTCAACCCAGAAGATGGAGGTAAAAATTAATCTGTATTTCTTGCCTTGTATTTCTATTTAGCATTCTCCTTTATCCCCCACATATGCCACTAAATTTCTCATCTTCGTTTCCCAGTCATTCTCAGAGACTGAAATAGTACACCTTAATTAATGAAAATGGTTTACTTGCTTAATAGTCTTATCATATATAACAATTTTCTATCTTGCAGGATGTTTCCCTTTAAAAGCCGTTACTTTAGTTTTCCTTGTTGATATAGCAAAATTATATCCCTTAACTATATTAATTAATGTATGTGAAGCTTTTTGCAGGATTTTCTTCATTTTCTACTATTATCACCAGAATGTCAGCAAATGAAATTGTATTAAGATTCAATGTTGGTGTTAGAACATCTGATTAACATTCCTCTGCTGTTTATACTATATGACTTCATCTACATGTGTATAAATGTTAAAATATACAGATGATTAGTAGCAGCCTTGTCTTACCCCCTCTATCTATTTCTTCTAAAATCACACTTTTCCAATACTACATATGTAACCTAAATAATCGGCAAATGAACTAATGAAGATATTTTTTTACAGTACCTCATAAAGGCCGAGAATACATCTTACTGTTTTCATTATGGTCTTCTGAGTTATGATACAATATATTGTGATTGGTAGTTACAGATGTTTTGGAGGACCTGGTGCCTTTCAGGGTACCTATCACATTATATGGTTTCAAAATGTAGAAGGCCATAATACAAATCTTTAGTGTGAAAACTTCAAATCTCATACTTCTTACTTGTTTCTAATTCACAGCAGATGTCCTAACACTCAGTTTCTATAGATCTTGTAGCAGAACTGTATGACTTGAAAAAATGAATATGTGGACAGTAATATGATGTATTTAGACAGTAAATACCATATGAGAAATGGATAGCATCACCCTTTGTTTCCCAATTACTTTCTTTCTGAAAGGTTCTGAGAATGCAACAGCAGTCACAACAGCAACAATTACCACAGCAATCACAACAGCAGCAACAGCAACCACAACAGTTACAGCAGCAGCCACAGGCAACTGATGATCAGGAGGAGAAGGATGATATAGATGAAGATATTGAAGATGAAGAATTTATTGATGAGGTGCAAAATACAAAGGAACATGTTATTTGCATGGCTTTTGTGAATGCAGTTAAACTGTGCACTTCACTACCTTCACTTGTCTTGAAATATGTGCATCTTTTACAGTACTAATGTCTATTTTCCTTATGTTTATTTGAATAAGACAATTAAAATTTGTGATGATCTCTAAAAATTATAAGCTTTAAGAAAGCAAAGAATTCAGGCCAGAACTAATAAAACCTACTATTGTACTTGCATTCAATATTTCCAGCCTATTCCTTGTTTGCCACCATATAAATGTATTACACTTAATACGAGCGTTAACTTAATGGTAGATGCAGTTTGATATAGTTACCATTTTCAGTTATGTAAATATGTGGATATGCAGTAATAGAATATACAATGTTTAGATGATGATACTTAGGCTTATTGAGTCAAGGTAGTGGAAATAATGCATCATAGTTTGTCCCTGTTGTTGTCATATGCAGTTATGCCAACTGCACCATATTCCACTGTATGGAGCAAAGTAGAACCTTCCTCGATTATGCATAACATGCCTGTGTTGATGGTATGGGATTCTTTTATGTCATACATGTTGTTTGTATATGTTTATATGCCTTACTGTGAACCAGTAAAAGTTATTATATTACATATTGTTCACTTCTGCACTGTATTTTGTTTACTTCTTTGTTTTATATAAAGTTATGTGGGAAGACTTCAATTTTGCTGAAGTCCATTATTATAGTTGACAGCTAAAACACATGCACTTATATGTGACACACTGTTTTCCAGAATTAAAACATAAATACTGTCAGGGGTCAGCGAATACTGGCTTAGTTTCCCAGTCATATAACAGTTATACTTGCCAGACATTTCTTCACAGAGAAACTGCACCTACTTTTTCCATTGTAATTGCTCCACATGAGCTCACTTGCCATCACATAAATACAGGATACATAAAATACTGTCCCATGTATTATATAATATGTATAGAAGGTATTGCTTATTGGCTGTGCTATAGGCCAGGAGGTCGGTTGCTGGCTTCCCACCCCAGGTCAGTTAATGTATGATTTGTGGTGGACATAGTGACACTGGGGCAGCTTTTCTGTGCATACTTCAGTTTCCCCTGCCAATTATCATTCTCCAAACTGCTGCAGATTCATTAATCGTCCTACCATTGACACTATAGAGTCTCAAAATTGATAGCATCATTAAGTAACTCTAAGAAAAAGATGATGTAATTTACTGTTAAAATTTTGTGTTTTACACCTGTGCAGAATTAAGAAAAGGGGGTGTGAGAGAATATTAACACAAATTTAAAAATATTTTCTACGTGTCAGCCTTTACTTTTCATTTGTGAGGGATGAAGATACAAATTGGTTTGTTGATCCATGAATATTATATATGAGTATGCCTTTACAGTTGTCTGTATGTCTTTGAAAAATTCTTATGTACTTTAAAACAAAATGCATTAGTTAAGATTTATAAGAGCATATTATATCATTATGAAATAGTATAGAATTGTGGTTTCCATGAACATAATATTCAACACAAAAAAGAAAACATTTTACACAAAATTCTATGTATTATGATTGTCACACTTTTTATTCATATTATGTTTCTTTGTGCATTTTAATTTGTCTTAAAACTTATAAAATAGATCAGTATAATTAAAACTCTCCGTTACAATATTTGTTGACATAACAAGGACGACTGACATCATAAAAGGTCTGTCAGAATTATTTCCATAGTTGACAAAAAAAAAGGTTATTCCATAGAATAAAAGTTGAATGCATTGAGAGAACATATTTGAATTTCCTAGTGCCTTTTGATTTGTTTCAGTTCTCAGAAAATGGTATTGTAGTGCTCTTGCAGATAACAGGGCTTAGAACACCTACTTTATCCCTTATCATTACTGTGTCACCATCACTGCTACAGAAGTCACTGCTTTCATGAGACTTGAAACTGAAGTGTGGGAGCATGTCAGTTAACAAAAGGTGCACGTTTCCATTTGAAGGTACACAGGAGATAAGATAGATTGGGTGGCCTCCTCCAGTCATTTTTTATGTATTCACAGGAAAGTTTTTATTTGGAAGGAAGAGCCAAAACACATGTTCTTAATCTCCTAACCTCTCACTGAATTCAGATTTTTCTTGCAGTTGCTAGAATTACCAGAATCCCTCTAACCTATTCAGTACTAACCTGACTGAAAACAAGCTAGGGGCATGAATCGGTAATTCTGTGGAGGAGTCCTGGAAAACGGAAGTTGTGCTTATTTGAAGTAATGGGGTGAAACTTCAAGCAGGAGTAGTGGTGAACCTAGCTGTGCTGATACTTCCATCCATTACTCTTCCAGTCTGTCACTGTAGGTTGTCAATGGTTGTAGATCTTCTTCTGCAGTATATGAAACTGGTGGGCTGTTAACATAACTTGAGGCTTTTTGTGGATGAATACTAATTTTCCTTTTGGAGGCATGTTTTCCTTTCTTTTACAAAAGATTTGGTTTCCTTAGGACTATGAGGAAAGTGGTGAACGTCGGAGTCGTACAGGCTCAGGCCCCAGCGGCCGCACAGTCACGCTGCAGATGTTGCTTGCAGCGGGCATTCTAGAGCCCGGTGAGGGAACAATGGCCATCGAGTACCTGGTGAGCTTCTCACATCTCTGTGACAATAGCTAGTCGCTTTCTGTCTCTGCAATTCTTTCTCTTGGAGCACTGTCTTAATTTCAGCAGTCGTTGTGTTTTATTTTCTTAGTCTTCTGTGTCATCTTTTATTGGTCGTTTAGTTCCATTTTTGTTTCAGATTTTATGTTGTTTGCCAGTGAAAAGGAAAATCATCAGCGAATCATCTCTGCAACTTAGCTGTTGTTCATGTTGTACACTTTATTTTTATGTCAGTATATATTTGGTATCTTGTCATATCCATTTTTGTTTCAGGGTCAGAGGTTTATAGGAGATTTGCTTCCTGATGGCAAGATAAAATCACAAGAAACAGACATTGTATTCGCGTCTCCAAGTGCATGGGCAATTCACTGCAAAAGGATTATCAACCCAGAAAAGAAATCTGGTTGCGGCTGGGCATCTGTATGTCCCATTCTGTAATACTGTATACTGAACTGAAGATACAGAGAAACCAATATGCTGTAGCTAACTAAAATACTTCATTACATACAGTTCTTTATTGGAGTCAGTTGTAACACAACAACCATTATGTTATTGTGTTACAACAGACTGCAATAAAGAATTGTTAATAATAACACAACAGGGTGCACGAAATGAAAATTACAGTTACTTGTTCTCTTCTCAACCATATTATCACTGTCACTGGATCCTATCAAGTGTACCAGGGGCTCATTTCCCAGGGGTAAAGCAGCCAGGGCTCCTTCTAGTGCTGATGTTGAGAATGTATGGAGCTGTACTTCCAGTTCCTTATGTGCCTTCATAGCATAGTACTGAATTAAGAGTACAGATACCTTTACTGGCACTTATGAGTTACTGTTTATAACAATTACCCTCAAATATGTTTATAATTTATATTTTTCAAGTTACGACTTTTGAGGTTATTTTTCGTTATAGAGGGTTTATACTGTTGTATTTTGAGTTACTACACCATGTAATTTCATAGGTACCACCATTCCAGGCTAATATACTGTCTATATCTTCAGGCTGGGGGAATGTGATAGTGTAGTTCGTTGAGGCACTATGCTACAAGCTGGAAGGTCACAGGTTTGAATCCCAATGAGGTGGATTTTTTCAGTTTACCTAATCCTTCCAGCTGCACTATGGCCCTGGGGTCAACTCAGCCTGTAACAGAAATGAGTACCAGGAATCTTCCTGTGGGGGTAAAGAGTGGCAGGGGAATAAGGCTGACAACCTTACCACAATCTGTGAGCTGATTATCTAGAGAAAGTATGGGAGCCTTGACATGTCACAACCCTAAGGGTATACATGTCCTGTTACAGGGATAGCTTTACCTATATCTTTGAGGTAAAAGTGAAGGTATGTGCAGTACATTCCTCTGAAAGTTTGGTACACAGGTGTCATGACCTAGAATTTTAATTACTTTCAAGGTTATTTTTCTCTCCTAAGAAGTTTTACTTATTAAAAACCTTCTTATAGCTGAGCTCTTCTATTAAAGATTTATAAAGCTTTGTGCTGCATATGTGGAGAGCTGGATAATACAAAACAGTATTTTAGGTCATAGTGATGCTGCAGAGTGGACAGCTATTTTAAAACGCAAGAAATGGTGAATTGAAATGTTTGTTATGTGTGTAGTAGCTCTGTGTTGACCTTTCTGTCCTCTGCCCACCTACACAATGTCACAGAATCCATTTCTGATGTGGATGCATCCATGTGATGGATTCTGTTACTTCCAAGAGTATGGTGATCATGACAGTGATGTTGACACAGGGCACCTGCAGCTTAACATGGGCTCTGAAATATAGGGATATTCCCAGAGTTTTATCTTTGATAGAGGTAATGGTTTCAGTCTGTGAGCAGAAAGATTTTCACATAGAACTGACGAGTGATTGAACTCTGGACCCTGTGAATGAGAGTTCAGTATCTTGCTCCTAGTGAAATAAATTATTATTAGAAAGCTTATTTACTTTAGCAGTAGATTTTTTCAGCAGTGTAGTCTAAATATTCCTTTAAAATAACAAATAAGCTAGAAGAGGCATGTGCTTGATATGGAAACAGTGCCAACAACAACCACCAGTGAAGATTACAGTAATTTTCAAATAAAAGGATGAACATGTTTCATGAAGGTAAAGGTAAAATTGTTCCAGTGCTTTGTGCAGTGCATTCCTCAGCATGAGGTGGAGATGAGGTATCAGCTTCATAGCTGCTTTAGCCCAGGAGATAAGAGCTCTAGATACATACTGAAGAGTAGACTGGATGGGCCCCAGAGCCAGTCTGATTGTTGGAGTGAAGACATATCTTTGCTCCTGTTCAGGATCAAGTTGTAATTATTCATTTTGTAGCCAGTCAAAATAATGCCAGCTATCCTGGCTCATAAATCTATTCTGTAGAAATATATACACTCTACCATTAGAAGACTCGTACCTTACATCAATCAAGGGGCGTTATTCAGGAGGGAGCATTTTCATTGTGCCATGGAACCCAAAGAACTTGTATCAAAGTATGCTGTTATCAAATACACATCTTAAGGTAACAACAGAGACAAGTCGGCAGGTTACAATTTGCTGAACAGTTTATAGTAAAGATAAGCTGTATGTTGCAAAACCAACATTTAAGTTTTCACTGGGGAGCAGTGAATTATAACATTACAACAAGGTGCACCTTGAATTGAGGAAACTTAACCCTGAGATTACTGACTTGAAATCAGTGAAACTGATTGCTAAATAAGAAAGTCCTAAATTAAACAACATGAAATGGTGCCTCCACAAATTTTAGTTCCACTTTAGATCCATATAAGCAGGGCTTGTAAGATTATGTTGTCTTCTTAACTGAGTCAAGCAAAACTTCACAATAACGTGTTAAGGGACTTCAGTTCATTTTTTTCTTATTTGTTTAAGACCTGATACTGATATGTTGGCAGTACTTTTGAAACTATTTTCCCCCCTATATCATCTGTCACATGACAGGATAAAGAAATAAATAGTTCTCAACAGAAAATTTCAAGCAACCGAATTGTTCAAAAAGTATGTACAACCTTAAGCCAATGTTTAGTTTGTAACATAAAAATATATACCCCTGAAGATGACATTGTAGATGCTGAAATATGTTGGGTATACAGCCAAGCTACATCTTTTGTAACTGATGGTACATGATAAATGATAATAAATAAAAAGATTTAAATAAATATGTTGGAGATAGATAAACAGATTGCAGTAGATATACTTGTAGAAATAATACGATTTCAGTCTGACACTGGCATACTGTTTTCATGTGGAGAAATAATTTCACAGATATTTGAAAAAAAAAACAGGTAATTCCCACCAAAAGACTATGGGGAAGCAAATTAATTTTTCACTTGTCAGATAGGTCATGGCATAATTTTTAAACCCGCATGTAAGAAAGATAAATTGAACAAAATTGCTTCTAATTTTGAGACATTTCATTTGCGCTGCAGGTGAAATACAAGGGGAAGAAGCTGGATGCATACAAAAACACATGGTTTAAGAAGAGAAAACAAGAACAAAATAAAGAAATTGAAGTTTCAGATGGCAAGTTAATTCATTATATTTTCTTTTATTACCACAGGGTTTTTTTTTATTTCTTTTTTTTTTTTTTAGAATGGTAAGATGCTGTGATACTCATTCTTCTAGAAATTTAACAGTTCAGAAAAGGTGTTTGTTGCACGAATTAAAACTTCCATATAACAGATTTCAGAGGTTCATGATGATAATATTCTGCTTGACTCCTTTAATTCAGTTTGTATTAACTATGGATGACTTCTGGAAATTCTTCATATCTGACTCTGACTTAAGTTCAACTTTGTAATGTCTAGAAATGTGAACAATAGTGAAAATTAATTAATTTACATTGTATGGAAGGGGTTAACATATGTGTTATTTAAATTTCAGATGAAGATATGGAGAAGGAGAAGGTAATGATGGCTCCAGCCCCAGTTCCTAGAATTGTAATCAAACACAATGTGATTGGCAGTCGAGCAATGAACCAGTATGTATCCTGCATCCAGTTACTGTGATATATGTGAACATTTTTATGGCAGCTGAAGTTACATCATATTTACTCGCATATTGTTCATGCCATCACATGACTTTTAAATAAAAATAAATATATATGTATATACAGGGTGTCCCAGGAGTTACTGAGGGTTCTCTATAGAATAACTTTGAAATAGGAACCCATGTCTGCAAACGTAAAATAGCAGCACTAGAGCGGCATTTAAAATCATTTCGTTTAGACTTTGCACCTCGATGTCGAACTGCATCGCATAGAGGAACAGTCATCCACCAGCACTCGTGCCATTGCCAAGATTGTGGGGACATCAAAATCAAGTGTTTGGAGAATCCTGCACGACCAACAACTTTATCTGTATCCTCCAACGCGAGTGCACGGCATAGGTCAAGCTAACTTCGTGCCACGAGTTCAATTTTGTCAGTGGATACTGAACCAGTGTTTACATCAGCCCATTTTCCTGAATCGTGTTCTTCACAGACGAAGCGCAGTTTACAAGGGATGGCTGGTTCAGCTGTCGAAACAGCCACGTTTGGGCTGACGAAAACCCCAATGTTACTGTAGTTGTTTACCACGAGGCGCAATTTTCTGTCAATGTCTGGGCAGGCATCATTGGTGATCACTTGATTGGGCCTTTCTTCCTACCACCGTTAATCAGTGGGCCCTTTTACAAAGTGTTCCTGGAACGTATCCTTCCGACTTTGCTAGAACACATGCCAGTGATTGTGCAGAGGCAAATGTGGATGCAGCATGATGGAGCGCCAGCACACTTCAGCATTGTATCATGAGACTACCTGGATGTTGTTTTTCATGGTCGTTGGATAGGAAGAGGAGGCCCAGTGCCTTGGGCACCCCAATTCCCAGACTTGACACCTCTGGACCATTTTGTCTGGGGCCATGTGAAAGCCTGATCTACGACACGCCTGTGGATAATGAATTTGAGCTGTTGGCCAGAATACTTGTTGCATGTGACGTGATCCGTGAAACACCTGGAATATTTGAAAGGGTGTGCCAAAGTTTCTTTCGATGATGTAACACATGCATTGAAAATGGAGGGCGCCAATTCCAACATCTACTCTAGCAGGTGAGTCATAAGAGTTTGGAGGAGGTAATATGCCTATGCATGCTCTTCGACATTGAGGCGCCAAGTTTAAACAAAATGATATTAAATGCCGCCCTAATGCTGCTATTTTACGTTTGTGGACATGGGTTCCTATTTCAAAGTTGTTCTATAGGGAACCCTCAGTACGCTCCTGAAGTATGGCACCAAACACCTGGGACACTCTGTATAAAGACCAATCCAGTATTCACTTTAGTATTTACGAGCAGTATAAAGCCAACTGAAATTACCGCAGTGTAATTCTTAAAAACAAACTTTATCAAAAATACCAAACTTCAGTAACTTCAAAAGTTCTGTAAAGACAACTACATATATATTAAAATACTAAACTTTACATAAGAATAGTAAGCAGTAGGCTGTTAGAGACACATTCTTGGCATAGGTGGATACTGTAATACCTACTCAAGCATAGCTTCCACTGCTGCCATCTTCTGCTCTAGTTCATAAATACTACCAACTCTGAGGCTGCTATATGTAAAGACAGAATATCAACCATTAGCCCATTTCTCTCAAACTGCTTCCCTTCAATTTTTCTGAGCAATTTTTTTATATGTTCATTTTCCACCATACATGCTACATGTTCAGTCCATCACATCCTTCTTGATATGATCCCTCACTCATAATGATTGGCAAAGATGCTAAAGCTCCTGTGTTAGATAGGGAGCCAGGACAGCACAGTCGGTATAGTGACTGGCTACAGGCTGGACAATGAGGGATTGGATTTTGAGCCCCCCTAGGGTTAAGAATGTTCTTTTCTCCCTGACATCCAGACAGGCTCTGGAGTCCACCCAACCTCATATCCAGTGGGTACGGCGGGCTCTTTCTCCAAGGGTAAAGCGGCCAGGGCGTGAAGCTGACCACTCACCTCTCCAGCTAATGCTGAGATCAAGAAAATGTGATACATTCACTCCCCCATATGCCTTCATGGCATAGTGCTTAATTAGTTAAGCACAGGGACAGCTTTTCTTTTTAGCTGTGTTAGATCCAAGCTTTTGACAGCAGTGACAAAGAAGAGTGAGTTCTTCTGGGTAGTAACACTGTCTGGTTCAGAATTTTGAACTACACAGTGCTACCACCCAGCAGAGTGCACTCTCTATAAAGCTTATCACCTCCTGTTACTTCTCTCTTAGGTTCAGGACATTATTCTCAAATAGTTTCCGTTCTTTCCTTAATGCAAGGCCAAGTTTTATACCCATGTAAAACAACAGATAAAATTATAATATTGTGTATTGTAATCTTTAAGGTCAGTTATCTGTACATACATTAATGTTGCAATCATTTTCATGTTTTATAATACATGTTAGAAACTGACATCCATATACACCATCAGGAAGTTAATGCTTTTTGTGAGCAACTTACACCATTCAGAACATCATAACATATTCACTAGTGTAGTCCAACACAGTTTAAATATTGTGCAGTAGAAGATTTACCTGTAAATGAAATTTTTAAGTTATATGACAGTTAAAACCCCCATACTATTAGAATTCACATACAAATTTTCCCGATTTATCCAAAAGAATTTGAACCACATAAAATCTGAAATTACCACAAGGAAATGGAAGACATGAATTAGTCTGAATATAGAACACATGTAGAATAAAGTAGATCCTGAGTTCTATCAAGGAGCAAGATATAAACTAATTATTTAATGGATATTATATATCTAATAATGTCAGTAAGTGTGGATAGTCTGCACCATAGCTCAAGCGGTTAGTCGCTGGCTTCCCACCGTGGCAGCCCAGGTTCAATCCCACGTCTGGTCAAGTGGAATCTGTAGTGGACAAAGTGGCAGGTTTTCTCCGAGTACTTTGGTTTCCCCTGCCAATCTTCATCCCACCAATTGCTCTACAATCACCCTCACCTATCATCTGGGGCTGGTACAATAGGCTGGAAGTGGCCGCAGTACAAGGAGCTTAGTCCCACCCCACTAGCATTAAAAAGAAAAGTGTGGATACTTTAAATTCTGCTTCACTGAAATTTTACTGCACTATTTGATTTGCAAAATGCTTGTAATTTATTAAATATTTATTCATTTGATGGAGAAAATCATTAAATTAAATGCAGTTATAAAAAAAATGAAGGGTGAATACCGAACACTGCGTCTGTACAAGATAAAAATATTACGTACAGCTCCTTCAAGTAAGATATCAAACTACGGATAGCAGAGAGCAGATAGCAGTGAAATGATGAGCTACCACCTGGCACAGGTACTAGCAAGAGCATATGACAATGGAATGAGGCACTGCTATGCATATGCATATAAGTAAGTGTGCATAAGCAAAACAAAAACAAAAAATCAGCTGACAATTGATGTCATATCTGACATAACATATAATATGCAGTTCGTATTCGTATTATGAGAGGGGGTGGGTTTCCCCATGCACTTAGACCAGTTATTGGTCCATTGTGCGTCCCCCTTTAATTTCTACTGTTGCCATAATACTGTTGCCAACGAGGTTGGCCCTTGGTACCTTGATGCTTCCCTCATCCACCAGAGGCATTGGAGACTACTTGGGCGGGAAAGGGCCTGTAATTTAGCTCAGAGGTCTCCTAGAGACATGAGGTTCTTTTACGTGCCGTAAATCTACGACACGGGACACATGGCTTAAAGTCGCTCCCGGAGGACTTGTTCCGTGAATTTTTCCGCCCTTAAAAATTCCACGACCTCCACCAGGTTTGAACCCGCGTACCTTGAGTCATGAGGTGGGAACGTTACCCCTAGACTACGAAGGCCGCTTTAATATGCAGTTAGTACATTTATGTAAAATTATTAATGTGAAAATATAAATACATCTCATTTATAATAATTCAAATTATTTCTGATATGTAAAAGTATAAGTACAGTAATATACAATAATCATTGTATTCATTAAATCCCTTTTTCACTAATCTACTAATTCAGAAATCTTGCAGGGATTGGTAGTTATAGTGAGCAGAAGCCACTTGAGTAATGAAATATAATAAAAAAATAAGGAGACAGCTATCCTAACTGAAGTTTTTGTGGTTTTCCTCAGTCTCCAGGCAAATTCCAGGATAGTACCTCAATTACATCACATGCCTGCTTCCTTCCAAGTCCTTTCCAGATCATCATTCAACTACCATCCTACCATCCAATGCAAAATAGTCTTGATACTAGAAAAGCATCCGTAACCCAAGAGAAAGGAAAGGTGAGAAGAGATCTTTAAACACCAAGAATATGATAGTATGGGTGTGGAGCAGGTGAATGAATGTATTGAAAAATGCTGAATATTTCTTTGTTGGCAGTGACCCCAATACGCTTATTGAAAGTACTGCATTTTCATCCATGGGCAAGATTCAGCCATTTCTATTGTCCATGTCAACAAATGCCGTGCTGGTGATGGACTTCCACTGTCACTTAACAACATCAGAAGTTGTTGGCTATCTTGCAGGCCATTGGGATGTTAATGCACACAGTAAGTTTAAAAAAAATACTTCTGAATGCTTAATAGAGCATGCTGTGTTTGCAGTAGTGCAGTTATACCAGAAGTAATTAGTTCTTCTGCCTTAGGTAAGTTCCTTCCCTTTGCATTTCATGGTCTCTTTTAAAAACTAATAAAATTAGTCAGAGGTGTGGTGGTATGAATTTTACCATCTTCTGGGAGTGCCTATGCCAGAGTGTGGCCTACTCTTCTACCCTGAAGATGGCAGGAGCAGGTTACTACAAATCAGTGGTAATGATCTATCAGATTCCTTGATGCCATATCCCAGAGAACAGCAGTCTTCATTGTCACTGCCATATGAAGCTCATATCTCACATGTGATATGGTTAGTTCCTGGGCTTCAGAGCACAACATTTAGGAAACTGTTTTCATCCTTAGACAGAAAAGTTGGGAGGTATCTACACAGTTGCAACATTATCACTAGGCCACTGAGCAAGATCTCCCACCTTGATAACATCGCTTTATAGATGCAGCTCTATAAATCTCTCATTTTCATGTCCCTTTTCCTATTACTTGAACACAGTAATGAAATTTCACAACATGAACTCTTGATGACCACTCTTTATTTCCTGTATTTGTCATAGACCTTGCAATCACACATGCATTTCCATGCCGTTCGCGACTTGCGGACCGAGAATTGGCTCCACTGGTAGAAGCAGATATTTGCCGTGCCATCGAGCAGCGACACTTAACTTTGGTGGGGTGGTACCATTCTCATCCATTCGCTGCTGCCACACCAACGCTTCGTGACATTGATGCACAACTTGACTACCAGATCAGGATGAAAGGCAACAGTGATGCCAGTTATACACCTTGTGTTGGTGTTATATGCTGTGGGTATTACACAAACTTGTGGCTTTTATTATTGTATCTGTCTTGAATGTAAAAGAATCACAGATTAAATTCTGTGGTTAGTTTTCTGCTTTCTGGATTTCTGAGTTTCTTCACTTCTTTTTATTCCTTTCTTCATAAATTTTTCAATTCTTTAATTGCTCTGTATTTTTCAGTGCTGCTCGAATAAAAAATTACCGATTTTCTTAAAAACAAGTCATACAAAACAACTGTTAGATGACATAAAATACTACCCACTACATTTTCCCCACTCAAGGTAGTATACATAAGAAACCATCCAAGAAAGAATAACTGTAATTATTACAGTTATTACCAGTATTTCTTGTCTATGAATTTAAAAAATTACAATTCTTATATTGTACTTCTTATACCACCAACAGAACTACCTGATATTGGTGATTTCTGGTACTTTCACAAGCCTCTAGATGTCCCCTTCAGCTTCTCCAGTTTTCTAAAACACATGATATTGCAATATCACTTAAAGATGGCAGCAGAAGCTAGCTGTCCATTACATTTTGAGTAAAAGTACTACTGCAGCGACCATGAGACGGTTTAGGTTTCGTTATGGATATGAATGGATTAAGATCTACAAATATTACTTGAAGCAATGGTAATACAGTATTTAATGTAAACAAATAATTTCCTGTTGTGTAGTGTTATTTCTGCAGTGTAATTAGCTTTACAGCTGTAGAATTATGTGAACAATACATGAAAATGTATGTACACTTTTTTCACTTTTGATGAAGACTGCTCTTTTGGATTGTCCCAATTTTTTAATTCCATTTCATTTTAGAAATTGCCTATATTTCCACCATCAGGTGGAGGTACTCTCAAACAATGGGGGCCAACAGAATAGGTTTCTTATTCGGCTGATGATGAAAATAGACTAATTTCTTAAACTTAATTGATTTCAAAAACTAGGATGATGATCAAAGTTCAGGTATCAAGATCATGGTCTTTTGGGATATGATGCCATGTAGTTTGGTAGATAGGTACCAACATTTTGGAGGGCCTGTTGTATCTTCAGGGTGGAAGAGCCAATAGGTTCCTCATATATACTGGTATCTGTCTATGAAAATACATGGCATCAGATCCCAGAAGACCCTCTCTCAGTACATACCGCCATGAGAACCTCAAGTCACCGAAAGAATATTTATTTCAATGTGTCATAATTATTTACTTACTTACTTACGGAGCTGAGCTTATCTAGAGCACACGTATCAAAGATAAGCAGCGGCACGCACACAGGGAGCCTACACAGAATAATACCTGAATGGTGCTGAAAGCAAGAAGTAGCCGCTGCAGCACTGTAGACCTAGAGCAGGTATCCCTGTGTATTTTGAATTTTAAATTTTAAAATTAAAAAAAAAAATTAAATTTAAATTGAAGATTTTATACAAATCTGACAAATATCAGCAGGGGGATTTTGATATATTGGGACCTGTTAACAATGGAGAAATGAACACTTAAAGCTGGTGTTTTTAAATTTTAAACTACATGTAGTGTAACAGCTATGTGAGAGTACACACCTGATGATGGCCATTTATGGCCGAAACATGTAGTGTAGAAGAAAAGAAGACAAAAGAACTACAATAAATTGTTGCACTTGGATGGAGTTTGTGTCATACACACTGAAACTCGAATGAAGAGTATAATACATTCCCTCAAAATAAAAAAAAAACTCTTCAGGTTATGATGGAATAGCAAGTAAAAATTTTAAAAGTTTGTGCATCTCTAATCAGTAGCCCATTAACTCACATCTGTAATCACTCACTATCCACAGGAATCTTTCCTGATCAACTTAAGATTTCAATAGTAATACCACTATATAAAAGAAGAGGACAAGACTAATATGTCAAACTACAGGCCAATTTCACTGCTAACGACTTTCTCTAAAGTACTTGAAAAAGTTATGCACGATAGGTTAAGCCATTATTTTCAGAAGTAGAGCATGCTATGCAGTTAGATTCATGTTACATATTAGTAACATTGACACTCTCAAATCGATCTATTTTTCTTACTTTCACTCTTTAATGACGTATGGAATAATTTTCTGGGGTAATTTATCTGACAGTAGAAAGGTATTTAGGCTGCGCCATAGCTCAAGCGGTTAGTCACTGGCTTCCCACTGTGGTGGCCCAGGTTCGATCCCAGGTCTGGTCAAGTGGGATTTGTGGTGGACAAAGTGGCACTGGGGCAGGTTTTCTCTGAGTACTTTGGTTTGCCCTGCCAATCTTCATTCCACCAAATTCTTCATCATCATAATCACCCAGGGCAGGCTACAATAGGCCAGTCGGTGGCCACCGTGCCGAGTGGACCCAGTTGGACTCCACCTCCCACTAAGCAAATTAAAAAAGAAATACAATAGTACCATGAATCCTTTCTTTATGTGTTATTCAGAGCGTCTGGTCCTAAATATTAATGGAAAAACATATTATATGTGTGAAATAAAAGCAGATTGCGTAATATTCTCTTCAACTGAAGTAATAGGGATTGGCTTGGCATTGCTCCACACACACACTGTGACTTCATGCAGGAAAAGACTTGGAAAGTTACCACACTACAAGATGTTTGTAGCAAAATGCCTTCTTTCATTTAATGTATGTAATAGTTTATTGTATTGACATTTAGGACCAGAGTGTTATTGTATTAATTAACCTCATGCTGAGTAGTGTTGTAATATCATACAGCTCCATACAATCATGACTCCCCAAGCCTGGAGTCATCCGTTGTGAGTTATTGGGTGATGCCTCCCCCTGAGACCAAGCCTCATGAGTATGGGAAACCAATGCTAATGAGCTACAGTGTGATCCAAGACCAGTTTCTGTCACAGGATGCTCTTAATGAAATGGTAGGTATTTTGACTCCAGTGTCATTTTCTTCTTTTGATTTGTAATGATGAAATGAATAAACAGAAGATTATATATATATATTTGAGTCATAACTGTTTGTGAGCATATCTTCATGGGCTTGAATTTGTGCTGGCTACAAACAGAAAAATGGTAGTATGGACTGGCAGAATGAGAACAATAAGGTTGTCATTGTTCACTGCTTTGTGAAACAGTGCCCTAACAAGATCAAGCTTTGTTTCATTGGAGTGGTACAACCCTAAATAATGGGAGCAGAAGGTCTACTGAGAGCTGCAATGAAAACCTGTCAGTTGTCCTGCATATCTGAGGCGTTAAGTTTTGTAACAGTCTGCTTTTGGTGTGATCACTCATATTTGGCAGTTGAGTTGCCCCTTGAAGTAGTCCCTGAATTGAAACAAGTGTTGAGCAGTATTAGTAGCTCAGAAAATTGTTTCTAAAGAGGTCCTTGAAAACTGAAAATTCTGCACCAACTTTTCCTGGAATGCCAAGCTAAACATGAGAGATCTAATTGTTATCACCATGCATCATTTCTTATTTGGGCATCACAAATATGTGGATACAATTGATTGATTCAGCTAGCAAAATGAGATGTGAAAAGTATGTCATAAAGTTATGTTTAAGATATAGAACCCGTCACTGCAGCAAATTATATTAACAGGCTTAGGGCAGACATGACATTTGTACTCCAAAACTATAAATACTATTACAAAATAGCAATTTGTACTGCCTCACATATTATTCATGAGTGACAATGCTCTGCAGAAGCTTAATATCAGTAGCACTTTATTGAATTGAATTGAATTTATTTACATTCTATAAATCCTAAGCAGGTTAGTACCTTTGGATACAGAACAAGTCAAAAGGTTACATACATAAGTACAGGCAATTTTAGCTTAAAAATTAATATAACTTAATTTTACATCATTCTCTATTTACATTGAAGTATTCATCTAAAGAGTAGAAGGAATGAGCATGTAGATAATTCTTTAACTCTGATTTAAACTTTTTAGTATCATTGCCCAAGTTTTTAATACTTTGTGGCAGATTGTTGAACACTTTTATGCCAGTAAAGTAGACTCCTTTTTGATATACTGATAAAGTTGATGAGGGTAGGTGGAAGTTATATTTTTGTCTAGTATTCATGTTATAGACATCAGAATTTAATTTGAATTTATCTTTGTTGTAAACAACAAATAAGAGAAGCGATAATATATATTGCGCTTGGTGGTAAAGAAGAGTAACTGATATCTTTCAATAACATTAATGAAGATGATATACCTATAAATGAGGACACATTATCACAGAAGAATGATAAGAAACACAATGTACTACATCAGTATGTACAACTGAAAGACAGTTGTGGTCTGCAATTAGAGCAGAGGTTTTAGCACCATGTATAAACTTCCCCCATTTAGGACTATATACTGAAGAGGATGACACTGTTTCAACCCAGGGCCTTCTTAGTGTTCGCATCCTTTAGCCTGATCTTCATTTTTAAAATATATTGGCTGAAACGTTGCTCCAGTTTCCTATCTTACTGCTTCATTCCTTTACCAGTCATATAATGTTTTGCATATTTTATTTCATTAACAGAAACGGTGTGTGAATTTCTACCAGAATGAAAGGGATTTTGTCAAGTTCAGTGAGAAATTTAAGGGCAACATTACTTACCTCGACAAGTTAAAGGTACAGATCTTTAATGTCTTATTTGTATAAATATTGGACCGTTTTCTTTTTAGGAAGAATGCCATCTTCTGGGATGTGGCGCTGTGCAGATCTTGTGTGGAACATCAGTTCACACAAAACCTACACAGTGCCACATCCCAGAAGACGGCATTCTTCATAGTCACCGCCGTGAAGACCTCAGATCTAGATCTAAAATTTTTTGTAGGATTTGCCTATCTCTTAATTATCTGTAAAAATAACACCAAACATAACCATAAATATGTATTTGCACCTGCTAATGAAGATGTCAGTAGTTAACTGTTTTACATTCAAATCAAAGTAGTAGCAGTATGCCAAATAACTGAGGGCAATTTCTTGGAATGTACTAGACAAATCGTGTCATTATAAATCAAATTCTAAAGCTAATGTCAAAATAATATGACAGTCAAATGATTGATAATGTAATCTAAATATTTAAGCTGTGGCTCATTACAGCAATATAGATGTTTAGTATCCAGGCATCTGGAATTCTCATGCAATATCAGATATAAATTTACCATTTGTATGAAGTTACTTAAAAAAGTTGTAATGTGCATATGTTCACCTGACACGCAGTATTTCTTCCAGCCACCACTAATAGTGCTGCATATTATCCTTCTCACACAGATGCCATTACAATAGAGGCTAGTTCAATTTCTGTTCACATTACTGTAAATCTGAATGAAATCTTACACCTCTTAATCCACTGTGTCACCTAAGAAGACTCCCACACTAGAATTAAAGTGAAAACTTGTGTTTTGACTTTATACTGGGTTTCTGTAAGAGATTTTTTTAGGCAACTGGCAGATTCATGTAACTGTCTCATCTCATTCCCCATACACGCTAGACACGTGGGAGTTTATTGTTACTTCATTATCATAGCGGCCTCCGTAGTCTAGAGGTAACATTCCCACCTCATGACTCGTGGTATGCGGGTTCAAATATCCGGCGGAGGTTGTCGAATTTCTAAGGGCGGAAAATTTCAGGGAACAAGCCTCTGGGAGGGACTTTAAACTCTGTGTCCCGTATCGTAACTTTACGGCACGTAAAAGAACCTCATATCCCCAAAGGGAATCACTGAGCCAAATTCCAGGACGTTTCCCGCCCAACAATAGTCTCTAAGGCCTCTGATAGAGGGGGGAAGCATTATAGATACCGCTAAGCAAGTGACCGAACTCGCTTGCTCGGCGGGACTGATGGTACGCACCATTTATCGGTAGGGTATAGAGACTGGTAGAATATCATAGAGGGAAGCACAATAGATCAAACTGGTCGCGGTGCATGGGGAAACCCACCCTCTCTAAATAACTAACTAACTAACTACCTCATATCATGTGTAAAAAGTCCTCTTGGCTTCTGGTTTACTCAAATTAACTATTTGAATATCAAATGTAGCTTATAATTTGATAGTAGTTATGAAAAATTACACTGACACTAGCTACAACTCATTTGTGTCAATTATTCTTGACAGAAGCTCAACCTAACCATAATTTGTCATCAGATTCAGAGAAATTTAGGAGTCATCTAATTTGTTGATAGTAATGCTTCATGATCGCCGATAGCCCTTCACATGAATTATGCACTTACATTCTTGGATTCAAAACTGTTGGAAAGCATACAAGAATTACAGGATATGTAAAAATGGTATTTAATGTTATACAAGTTAATGTTTTATTCTTTAATACATAGTTTTCATTTTTTTTACTTTAATTCCCTTTCTAATCCACTCTTAATTTACTATATTATTCAATTTCAGACTACACTTACATCGAAGTTCCCTCGAGACCAAAGTGATGGAATTCTCTGGGGTTTCATTTGTGAAATGGTTTGCCCAAGGTCAGGTAATACTGAGAATGGAAACAGAGTTTTTAGCCCACCAGAAATCCCAGTTGCTGTAAGTACAACACAAGCACCATTGGAACGTGTCAATCTGCTGGTACCGAACATTGTTCCGAGCTCCATCAAGCCTGTGAACGCCAACAACACTAGCAGTACTAGCACCAGTACCTCATCGTCTGTGACAGTTGGAATGGGTCCATCAGGAGGACTCATGATGGGTTCTGACATTGCCAATGCATTATTTGCAACTGGAAAGTTTCCTTCACCATCGTCCCTCATGGGGCTCGCTGGTGATCCAGGACGTGCCAGTCTTGCCATGAGTAACATGTTCATCTCTCCAATTGGTTTCAAAATGGATCAGATTAGTATCCTTAAACCCATTGCTATATCCACCACAGCTACGCCAACCACCCCTACTTCTAGTTGTAATAACAATATTAGCAGTATCACAAATAATCCAGTTCCTGGCTCCTCCAAAATTGCAGATGTTACATCTCCCAGTGTAAAAGTGACTCAGACTGATATGGGGAACTTCACGCTACCAGAAAGTCTCGATAAGAACCGTACAAAAACAAGTGGACAAGTGCTTTAAAAGAGAAAGCAGAGAACCTCATAAATAAACTTATTGCACTTCTGAGTACTCATTTTTATTGAGAAAGGCACCTTAATTACCCAGATATAAAATGATCCCCCTTGTCAAAACTTAAGTTCACAGTAATATATATTTTTAAGTCATAATTACATCACACCACTTTAAAAACATGCATTACTCTAGATCAAGGCTGTCCAACTACATTGAGGAACCGCAATTACCTCATAGGCACCTACTGATAATGCTGCTTTATAAAAATATATTTTTTTCCCTTACCCCAATACAAATATCTGACTTGCAATGTTCAGCTCTGTCATGCACAAGCACACAAAAGAGAACTGGATCCATAAGGTTCAAATGATTTATTTAAATCTAATATACAGGGTGAATCATATAGAACTGGCCCGATGAATTTGCTAATAATTCCGCAGGTGATGCATATAACCGCTCACAATTGCAACATAATAAACCGTGGGCCGTGCTGAGTTGGTGTGCACATGATCCGGCAAGTGGCAGCCCTTACGCTGCAAGGTCAAGGACAATGCCGAAACGTGTCTGCAGTGGGCAGGCGACAGTCATGGAGTACACTGTTGAACAGCGAGTGTTTCTAATGCCTACTTGAAAATGGCGGACACTTTCAACGCCTGCTCTGATCACGGCACACAATCCAAGATAAGATATGTGTAAATTACTTTAATATCTGTATGGTATATTTTATATTACACCTCATTTCGTCGGGCCGGTTCTATATGAATCACCCTGTACTATGATGTTGCACTTTAAAAAAGAAGTTAATCCAAGCATCTTCAAAACATGTAATATTGGCAGNTGTTGCATATGATCATGGAGTTATACTAATTCCATAATTTTCAGAATTATTTATTAGGTTCCATGTGATATCAGTTGAATTATTGCCTAGAATGTTTAGTAAGCACTTTTTGTAAAGCTTTTCAACAAGATTGGCCACCAGTTTCTTGAAGAGGATGAAAGCATTGACATTGGGGTGGGAGAGAGTCGGACACTCTTACGGGCATTACAAATCCAACTGGCAGGCCATGAGTTGGATAGCCCTGCTGTAGATGATCCTCCTTTTTCCAATTTACAGAGTTGAACACATCTGTATTACACTTCATTATATTGAGGGTTTCTTTGCATTGAAGAGTTGTTAGTCCCCTACTCAACCCTCAAACTGGAGGACCACTCCTTGTGGGCTGTCTGTGACTACTTCTTCAGTATGTTCACAGGTGCTCTCCATATATGATGGTCATGTCCGTCTGTAACCTGGGGATGCCACAACATGGAAACCCTTACCATGGTTCTAGTGAACATGGTAATGAACTTGTGGGTTCCATAAAAGACATGGAATTTACTGAGTAGCTTTCTCAGTGACTCTTCTCCATTAAGTTATCTTCCCTATAATAAGATGAAATTGCTTCTGACTGCTTCCTGATGTGGCACTTGGAGGCATTCTTCATTAACACTGCATTCTGCTGAGTTACTAAACTGTGCAGATCACATCACTCAACAGATGGCAGAAGGAACTGCTTCAAGCAGTCTTCACATTTTATGTAAAAATACACTTGCTGTGGCAATGGCTTATAGTATGAGAACATATAGGCACACTTATGAATACAGACAGTTTAAGGAGAACTCTCACCTTATATCCAAGTAAACAGAGTGAACATCCAAAGAGGTAACTGAAAAGAACTAAGATGAGCCAGACTGTAGACCCCTCAACATATATGAAGATTTAACACTGTGCTCATTCAGTAGATATAAGTAATATTGACAGATGTTAGCTGAAAGGTGTTGCAGACATTCATGTTGTTTATTTATGTTCTTTGTGAATGTATTTTTTTAGAGATTTTAAGCAAAAATAGTTACTAAATTAAAATGAATCAATTGCATAGTTTGCAGACTTGTACAAACCACTTTCTGAATTTAAAAATGGAATGAATATTTCAGAAATGAACAAGAAGTTTTAAATGGCTTAAAATGTTTTACTTAAGCATAGTGTAACTTATGTGCTATATATATATATTCTGAAAATAACAGCAAATGCAATGAAGGAATATCAATGAGCATCTTCTCTGGG